GAAGACCGAATTAGGATAATTAGAGACTGAAGAGTGCAATTTATTCAAATGTTCTTGAGTGCTGCAGTGGTGACATAACTGTACCCCCCCCCCCCCCCCCATATAGAGAGAAGAGGCAGAAACACCGTCTCCAACAACAGCAGACTAACTCGATTTTTATACAGCAGCAACCTAGATCTCCTCCCTGTCATCCTTCATTGATTTTGCAATCCAGCAGCATCCAAGCAGAACCATACAAGCCGTACACCTCAGTCTGCTGCTGATGGCCAATCTCTATTACCCACCTAGCCCAAGGCTTCGGTTGGAGGGGCAAACCCTCTCAGGGGGAAGGCGAAAGAGGCGGAGAGCTCCAACTGGCGGATCGGAGCAATGATGGATTTATGAGCTGCTTGGAGAAAAAAAGGATCATCGTCTCTCCCCCTCCACTTTTTATTATCCCATCAGATCTGACACGGTGGCAGTAATACATGACGGCCTGTCACATTTTGCAGATCTGGCGGCGAATATGAATGATGATTTCAAATGCTTGCGTCTAATCAGCTGCGAAATTGCTTCAGTAAATATGTTGGACTACGGGCGCTCTGTCTTCCCCCTGTCTCTCACTCTGAATGAAGCTCACAGTAATAGGCTTGTAGTTGTCACGATGTTTAAGACCCGTGTTGGCTTCACGGCTCATAATTAGCTTTTAATGCACAGAGAAGGCTTGAGGGATAGAAACTGGCGGAAATGTGGAATGAAAAGAGGCCTGCTGTGTGGCCACAGTAATTCAGCCTTTTGTTCTCTAATTAAATGACCTCTGAGGGGAGCGCTAAGCTTAAGTTTGTGTGTGTGTGGCGCCCTCTGATATGGCCGTTTGTGCCAAGTGCATTCAGTCTGGCAATGAATAGGGCGTCAAATACAAAGCCCGAGGAGCCCTCTCTGTGCCTGCTTCGCCCCCTTTTTGCTTGTTGAAACTTTTCCACTAAACACCCATGTCTTAAAAAAGTGGTTTCTGGGCCCCTTCGTTGTAGTTCGGGACACATAGCTCGCAGTCTTTTCTCACTCTCTCTCACCTCTTCTGCAGAAAAAAAAGGGAGGGACTGGGAGCCTTCTTTGTAACCTTGAGCTTCACAAAAGCTTAATTTTCTGTGATGCATGTTCTTCATTTTAGCCTTGAGGAGGTCAGCAGTTCAACATTTAGAACAAGAACAAAGCCAAAGTCTGCAGACACAGAGGTTGAAGTTTTAATTCAACTTTTTAATTTTAAAATAATGCTAGCGTTTGTCTTGTTGATAATATAGTTGTTCTATAGGATGTCGATGTTTTAGCTCGGCTGTTTGAACAACTGATTCCCAGATATGACTCCAAGATGGTTCTGTTTTAATCTAAAATGTTGTGCTTTGTAAATTGTACTTTGTCTCTCTTTGTATTTCCGTCTGTAACTTTGTGTTTTTTGCTGCTGCCTGTCTTGGCCAGGTCTCCCTTGAAAAAAAGGTTTTTAATCTCAATGGGACCAAACTGGTTAAATAAAGGTTAAATAAAAAGAATAATAATAATAATGCAACAGTTTCCTCTGACTCTTCTGTCAGCACAAAAGATGTGGATGGAATTATTTGTTGTTTTCACATACACCATTCTCCTTCTTCTCTTCTTCATCCTTTCTAAAAACAACACATTTAAGCATTATATCTGAGAAACAATGTGTGGATAATCCACAGAACTCCCTGTCATCATTTTCACTCTGAGTACTCTTTCAGCAGAAAGTAGTTCCAGTAAAAAACTGTTGACAGCGATGTCTGTGGATTATCCAGGAACACTGTCTTCTAAAACCACATTCTTTTCTTGCTGGGATGTTCGAATAGTTGCATGCAGAAGAAATAATTCAGTTGTTGATATAGAAATCTCAGTGAAGTATAAGTGGTGTTAATATTATAATAATAATAATAATAATAATATTATAATAATACCTGCAGGTAGATGTCAGAGGAAAACTCTGAAAGATATTGTGACTCATCAAGCAGGAGCAGACTGAACATCAACATTCAAGCTGCAGGGCCTCAAAACACTGCTGAAAGATGCTAAAAAGCCCTAAAAAGCTAATAAGTGGAACTGCAGATTGATAATTGAAAAATATATATTTACAGCAGCTTCTGAGGAAAACCTCTTCATGTATTATTGATTAAGAGCTTAACCCTCTCAAACGTAATCTAACTCACCAGGATCATGTGGGAGTGGATTTTTTTTCGGCCACCCAAAGCAACCCCACAACTGTCATGAGGTTAAGATCCCAATGTTGCTTTATAACAAGATGTGATCTTTTCAACGCAATAACAGCGCAAATAGTAACACAAATACATGTGAAATGAATGAATCTACTCTTTCTTTGCCAGAAAATGCTCCAGAAATGTTTTTAACCTTTTCTCTAAGTAGTTTCAGGGCACTTGCAAACAGCACAAACTGTTTGTTTCTTAGTGTGCTACTACCACTACAAAGCAACAGATATTATTTATGACTTCTTTTGTTACGAGTTGTACCCTGTTTTCTAAAAGTCACAGTCTCTGCTCACCGTGCACCATCTTAAAAATAATCCTAAAAGGACACTTGAGCCTAAGCGATAAAGTTCCAACATAGCAACTGTTATTGCTGTTGTTGTTGGCTTGTGCATGCTTTGGGGCGCGTGAATGAATGTTTCTATTACAGTTGTCCTGCATGCTGACAGCCTTCAGCCGTTACAGCCACCTGGCACGTCTACGCAGCAGCAGTGTGTGAGCGTGTGGAAGTGGCGCGGCTCCGTCCGTAACCAGACCCTGGAACATAAACAGGTGCTCAGGAGGGTGTAAGAGAGGGGGCACTGAGAGCATTTATTCTTTTTTAAAATGTATTTTGGGCTTTTTATGCATTAATTGGAAAGACAGGACAGTGGATACAGTCAGAAAAATCAGGGTGGGGGTGGGGGGGGGGGGAGAGAGTGGTGAATAGCATGCAGGAAAGGAGCCAAAAGTTGGATTTGAACCCGGGCCGGGCTGACTGCTTTTGAGGACTTTAGTCTCTGTAAATGCGGCCAACACACTTACCGCTAGGCTACAGGCGCCCCGCCTGAGTATTCCTGTGTGTGTGTGTTGTTGTGCGTGATCACAGATGACGGAGAGAGGCTGGCGGAATCACAGATGACATCCTAATTGGCCTCTGGTGCCAGATGCCAGCCTGTAAAGCCGGGCCAGGCCTGACCAGGCTAGTGTAACAGTGTCTCAGCAGCAGCCAGGCAGGGCTTTAGGCAGGGCTTAAGTAGGCCCACTGGCTCCACAGAGTGCTCCCACGGGTATTAGGTGCTCCCACACACACATACACACACACACACACACATATAAACACCCTTCTTCTTCTTGTCTTCATCCTTCCTGCAGAGCTCTCTGTGACATTGTCAACACCAGTCAATCTGAGGCGAATTCAGACCAAGAAAAGCTTGAGGCTTGACAAAGGCCCAGGCTTCTTTGTGTCACATCTATTCACAGAGAGGCGTAGAGGTCTGGCTTTTCTGAAGCTTAATGCAGTGTTTGCATTGAGACCCCCCCCCCCCCTCCCTCACACTCTGCCTTCCTCATTTGTAGTGTATATTTATGCCTCATAAATGTCCAGTGAAATATCAAGTAACTGAAGCCTTACCGTCTAACCAGCACCCTCTCACCCTTCACCTCTGGCTCTTTACCTCTTCACCTCTTCACCCTTGTTACGTGATGCTTTTCTCTGCAGAAAAAGGAAACCACATCTTTAAAAAAAACCACTTGAGACTATCCAGGCTGGGTCTGAAGCACACACAGAGATGTTCTTGGACCTATGACATTATATTTGATGAAAAACTGGAGCAGGCAGACACTTCACTTTGCAGTTAAATAAGGAGAATGAAAGAAAGAGTAGGATTTTAAAGCTGAATCTGATTAGTGAACAGGAGAGGTGGTACGTCAGCGTGAAATAGGCTGCTCTGAAAATGATTAACTAATATTCTTATTGTAGATTCTTCTTGATCCTCGCTGTGAAGCAGGAAAGAGGTTTCTGCTATCTGCTCTCAATAAGAGACAGTGTTCAGATGAAAAGTATCTACTTCTTAATACAGTAACAGATCATTCTCTCACACTGATGTTTCCTAATCCTTAGCTGAATAAAAGTTTTAAAGGGGAGTTATTGTAGACGAGACTGTTTAGATTTAAAACTAAATTCAGTAGAGATGTCAAACATGCAACAGCTGCGTGCTATTTGACCAATGTGTACACAAATATCTGAGGATGTGAGAAAAGGAGTTAGCAGTGGTTTTTTCTTAGACCATTCTGAGAGTTTAACTCCTTTTTGCTGCTTTGTGTATCGTGCTTACACGTGCACAATACTAAATGATACAGTGAGAGATCAGAGGTCAAGTTCAACTTTAGAAAAGCACTCGTGGGCCTAGTTTAAATATGTTTATGGAGCAACATAACATCATTTTAGCTCTCTCTTTTAAAAAAAATACAATCTGAAAATGTGGTCCAACACTTGAAATTGTCAGCTACTATAGTGGGTAAAGGGAGTGTTTGTCTAGTTATTTCACAACACTGGAAAATAGCAAAGGCATATTGTGAATGTTTGAATGGCTTAATAGATTACGCGGCATATTGGAGAAAGGGGAGTCCCTCTGGGACATGTTCTGGGCCCACATGAAAGTGGAAGAAAGGTCTTACTAGATATATATAAATAGAAAAGTTCCTATGGGATTCTGTAGTATTACTCAGACATCTATGTACAGTATGACATGTTTTCTTTTTTCTGTGGATATAATACACTTATCAAACTTTTCTTGTGTGTATGTGTTTTTTGTTTATTTTTCCTTCTGGATTTATACGTTTATGGTCGCCAAGCTGTACTAGTATCTTCCTCAATGACGGCTAGGATATTAAAGTATGTCATGTGCGCCAAAGCCTTTCAGAAAGAAAAAAACAACACAAAATCCTTACCTGTGTTTCCTGTGTATAATTTCTTGTTGTCCCTTCCAGAGCGAGCCATCGCCAGACACGAGGTGCGAGAGATCGAGCAGCGGCACACGCAGGACGGCCTTCGGGAGCGGGACTCCTCAACCTCTTTACTGTCCGACAATGAAGACGACATCGTCATCATCTACAACCGAGTGCCCAAGACAGCCAGCACCTCCTTCACCAACATCGCATACGACCTGTGTGGGAAGAACCACTACCACGTCCTGCACATCAACACCACCAAGAACAACCCTGTCATGTCCATACAGGACCAGGTCGGACACACACCTCACATGAACTGTCACCAAGTTAACATGAGTTCTAGCATTGACGAAACTATTTTTGTAGACTGCTTTAAAAAGAAAAAAGTCACACATGGTTGTAATGATTGATATTTTGTTCAGGTGCGCTTTGTGAAGAATGTAACTGAGTGGAGGGAAATGAAACCAGCTTTCTACCACGGACACGTCTCCTTCCTGGACTTCACCAAGTAAATATATTTTGTACTGCAATAGTTTAATTATGGAAATGCTTTAAGGCAGGGCTATACAGTAACTCAGTAACAAGAGCCTGATCTGGAAGAAGTAAAGAGCTAAGTTTCTAAACTTAAACTTCCTATGTCAGACCTCAAATGAAACAACACTCCTTCTCTTTTTATCTTCCTCACATACAGATGGGCTCTGCAAAATCTCTTTGTTTTTTAAATGTGTATTTCATGACTTAACAACCAACATGAATAATGAATGACCTGAAAACCTACTGATAAAATCATTCTCTTGTAATATAACTAGTAATAACTAATCTACTGACCAATAATCTGATGTTATCTCTGCATGGCTGCATCAACAGCTCGAGGGGCAGCCTCTTTGAGGGAAAAAATACATTTGGAAACAAATATCTCACTTTTTCTACATTTTTATTTTATTTATGGAATTGGTTTATTGTAAGATGTATTCCCTCTGCTGTGGCTTTGTGCTGCTGACCCCCCCTTGTGGTCATGTAGAGCTTTACATATACAGTGTAGTGATTCTTTTTCTCTAAGTTAAAACAAAATCAAACAAATCACTGAGCTTTGATCTCCAAACTGTTTTTTTTTTTTAAATCCTTAACGTCTGTCTCTGTCCTCAGGTTTGGTGTGAAGAGGAAGCCCATCTACATTAACGTGATCCGGGACCCCATTGAGAGGCTGGTGTCCTATTATTATTTTCTGCGTTTTGGGGACGACTACCGGCCCGGCTTGAGACGCAGGAAACAAGGAGACAAGAAGGTAAAAAAATATATACATTACCATATTCTTTTTGTTTGGATAATAGGTTCACTATCTCTCTTGTCTGTTGCATACAACAATAACAACATGTGTATATGGATGTTAAAATAGGCTTTGCTTGCTGTCATTACTCCTCCTGTTCATGGTGTCCATTTGAAGGTCACGTTAAAAGGATGTGTGGAGGTCAAACTCTCTGCAGAAACGTATTTTAAATGTTTATCTGAAGGTAACACGAGGCTTCTGCGGTTTAGATGGGCATCTCCTGTAGTTCCAGTCATGCCAGATTAAGACACACTGGAGTCCTTGATCCTTCAACTGATTAGACATGTAAGCGTTTTCTTCTCGGGTCTCTTTTTCAGACGTTCGATGAATGTGTATCAGCCGGCGGCTCAGACTGTGCCCCTGAGAAGCTCTGGCTCCAGATTCCCTTTTTCTGTGGACACTACTCCGAATGCTGGTACGTATTTAGACACCAGACGCTGAGCCATGTTCAGACAACACTGAGTCAGAGTGATAAATGTTCAGGTTCTCTTGGTTTCTTGCACTTATATTTGAAATGATAACAGGAAACTTTACACCTTGTGTTTGTTCACTATTATACTATGGAGAACCCTTGAATAGATGTCGGCGTGTGTAAAAGTATAAATATAGACCTGATAATTCTTTTAAATGTTAGATTCAACTATGAAGAATTTTGTGAACTTGTATCCTTCTGATGTGTTGCGGTTTTTTGTTCATATTTTGTTATTGTTTCTGGTGTGGACAGCCCACGACTTGCTGTTGGTTTGGGTCCTTTCAGAGGGATTTGTTGGGGCACATAATCTATTCATAATGGAAAGGTGGTTCGAGCAGTTCAGGGTGCTGTATCCGTTTTGTTTCATAATTCACTACATTGAACCTCAGAGTCCTCCTGTTCCACTCATCCTTTCAAGGCCTCTGATAGCTCTCTCAGCCTTGATCCTCTTCATGATGATCTGTATCAATCTCTCTCTCTCTCTCTCTCTTTGCCCTCACTCATCCCTCTTACCCTCCTAATCTCTCCTTGACACTGGCCTCCCATCTCATTTCAATGTGTGCTCTCCTTGAAGAGAAGAAGTTACTGAAGGTCTGAGTGTACAGGATTTATCAGCATGAAAAAAAGTTGTAGGAAAAGCATTACATTGTTATTGAGAGAGAGAGAGAGAGAGAGAGAGAGAGAGAATATAATATAATATAAACTGGTCAGAACTTATGATGGGAGGATTGTTTTCTGTTAAAGTGTAAATGTTCTAAAAGAAGTATGAGCTGCTGTTAATACCCACAGCATTTATAATCCTGATATAATAGATAAATTATGAATGAGTATGAATTTTCACAGGACAGAGTGTGACATTTCGAGTATGATGTCCTCTAAAGGAGTGACATCTCTGATCACCTTCTGCACCCCTCACTCAAACTGACTTGTAGTGTTTCTGATGTTCAACAAGGCTAATGTTATTTACATTATTATATCTTATTGTTGTCTTTGATTTTTGAGCTACTGTAACAAGTGACCTTCCTCTTGCAGGAACTCAACAATGTTGATCTTATCATAATGCTGTTCTTAGTGAATATTGTATTTGTTTCTCATCAAACAGATGTGTCACTGTATTTGCGGAATACAAAAAAAAACAACCAAAAATGTAACCTGATCTGTGTCTGCAGGAACGTGGGCAGCCAGTGGGCTCTGGAGCAGGCCAAATACAACCTGGTGAACGAGTACATGCTGGTCGGGGTGACAGAGGAGCTGGAGGACTTTGTCATGATGCTTGAGGCGGCGCTGCCTCGCTTCTTCAGAGGAGCCACTGATCTGTACAAAACAGGTACGCAGTCTGATAAACAGTTCAAGTGCATTTACTGTTGACCTGCATATTCTTTTGTCTCTCTCTACAGTAGTATAATAAACTGAGAGGCAGCCTAATGGCTCTGCACATTGCAATGCTAAAGCATGTGTGCTGTGGTTGCATATTATATTAGCAGTCTGAATTGCTCCTCTGGGAATTGAATTGTGATCAATATGCGCTCATGCCGCTCGCTGATGTAGTTACAGATTAGTTACAATGAGTGCAGCCAGGATGAATAATGGCGAGCACAGAAGAATTAAACCTGACACCGATATAAATGTACCGACTCAAGTCTGATATTAATCATTTCTAGCAGCAGATGAACCCCAGTACTTAAGCTAATCAGGTTTGTGTTTCATGAAATCAAAGACTGAGTCTCCTTTAGAAGTCCTGCAGTCTCAGTTATCATGTTTTAGCTGACTGGATTTGTCACTTGGAGCTTCTCATTTTGCAAAATTTAAGATAGACTTAAAAAAAAATATGTAGAACTCCTAAAACAGGACGATAAGCTGCTCCAAATGTGTGCAATTATAATTTCAGACATTATGGAAAAATGGTTTTAACCTTTTTATCAGAGGTAGATGAGAACTGATACAACCGTCTGTCTTTATACTAAACATGAGCTACATTTTAGCAGCCTGTTAGCTTAGCTAAGTTTAAAACTAGAAAAAGGGGGAGCCAGCTAGCCTTGCTCTGTCCAAAGGAAGTGAAATCTGATATTGATCTATACTTTGAAGCTTGTTAAATCCTGTTTGTTTTGTTGTGGTCAGTTTGACTATTTCTAGTAACATCCTGATGTCTGTGCTGGTTGCCTGGTGATCTCAGGACAATAACAGAGCTTCTCCCTGTGAAACCAAGACTTGATGGTTTACACTTTAGTATTCAAGCAAACAAATACAATTTTACACTACTGCTTTCAGCATGTATGCAAAGAGAGGCTAGTTGAGTCCCAGCTTAAGGGTGTATGTATTAACATTTAGATATCGACAGATTTATAGCAATCTAACTGGTAAATTAATCCAGAAAACTGATTTTCCACATGACAAGAGCTTTCTGTCTGGAGCACTGCCTATATAAAACATTCTGCCACTAATTAAATACAAAATAAAAAAAGTAGGATTAGAGCAAAGACTGCCTCAGATGGATAGCAATGGTGGACACATGTTGATCCTGGCTCATATTGTGAGGAGTCCACTTTTGTGTGTGACACCTCCACTTAAATAAACAACCATATAATACAATTGTAATGATGATTGTGTATATAAATGATGAATCAATGAGTTCACCCTCCCAACCATTTAAATCCTGATCTCCTTCACTCACAGGGAAGAAATCCCACCTGAGGAAGACCAGCGAGAAGAAGCCAACCACCGTCCACTCGCCAAGTGCAGCAGTACGAGAAAATCTACCCAAAAAACTGAAGAGATTGGTGTTTCATGGAGGAGGTGGGAGAAGACACTTGGAAAAAGAGAAGGAGAGAGAGAGACTGGTGGACTCCTGGTGACTGTGTGGCTGGTTTGTATGTTTGAGTCAGAGCATAATGGTGAACTGCAGAACCATCAAGCCTCTGAACGCAGCGATCAGTCTGGACGAGGAGCTCACCTCAGCAGGTCGTGTTCCCAGCGGCACCAAGGGGGAGGAGGTGGGAGAAGACACTTGGAAAAAGAGAAGGAGAGAGAGAGACTGGTGGACTCCTGGTGACTGTGTGGCTGGTTTGTATGTTTGAGTCAGAGCATAATGGTGAACTGCAGAACCATCAAGCCTCTGAACGCAGCGATCAGTCTGGACGAGGAGCTCACCTCAGCAGGTCGTGTTCCCAGCGGCACCAAGGGGTCTCCTCTTCCTTTCACTGTCATTTCAAAGCGCGCTCACGCAGAGGGCCTCTGCTGGCTCGTGTCCCGTGACAGATTTCCCAACAGCTGGTCAGACCTGGACTCCTGATTGGCTCTGATCCGGCAAAAACATTGTCATCAGCTCTGTACTGTTTGGTTGTGTTTGGTTGTATTTTAACTCTTTACTCTGGCTGTTTGTTTTCTTTTCTATGTAAAGACGGTAACCTTTTCCATGGTGAACAACATGCCCATGTCTCACCACCACTACTACTAACTTAAAGAGATTTTAAGTGTAAGAAACTGACTACTGTGCTGTATTATTGGACTGAAGACTTTTGAGGTTTTTATGAAATAAAATCCATTGCGTTCATATTTCCAGAGGCAAGTGTGTACGTTTTCTACTGTCTTAGTTATATCACTTGTAAATGTGCAGCTGAACATCACATGACATGAATGAAGTGTGGATGAACACTGAGAGGTGAAGATGCTGCTTCTTTCAGGTGTTTCTTTCTCAGACAGCTTTGGTACATTTTGTAAGTTTGTACTTTTATTTGTTGTTTTATCTTTATTTTTAAAACCAGTATGTTATGTTACTCTGCTGCTTAAAGGGGCATTTTAACATTTTAGGAATCATTTAATTCAAGGTAGAAGAGAAGGTTGATATCACTTACATACTAGACGTTACAGCTAGCAGCCAGTCAGCTTAGCTTAGCATAGCATTAATGTGTAAACATGGGGAAACAGCTAGCCTGCCACTTTGATTTAAACTCCCCGTAACACTGAAGAGTTGACATTTTCTTGACTTTACTTTTTAATAAATTACACTGATGGGTCTTTGTTACTTTGGGACAGAGCCAGGCTTGCTTTTTACCCATTTCTAATCTTCATGCTAAGCTAATTGCTGCTGCTGCTGCTGCTGCTGTATATTATTTGGCCAATTATAAACTAAACAAGGAAGAAAATATGCCACAAAATGTCAACCTTGCCCCTAAAATCTCTGCTCTTTTCTTCACAAGTGTCCACTCTAAAAATAGTTGGGATGTTGGTGATAACTTTGCTAATTGTCTTTGTGTTGATTTTCTCTCTTGTTGTCTTAGGGGTTCAGTTTATTGTACCTTTAATGGCCTTTATAGGCTAATAAAAGTTCTTGTCTCCACTTCGTAAACTGCTAACTAACATTTGGAAACGCTTACTGTCCCATTAAGGAGGTACACTGGAGTGAAGAGCTGCACAGAAATGTTCTACCTGGATGCTCTGTCACATCCCAGCTCTTGAAGAATTTAGTGGTTAATAGTCTTTTACTTTGATCTGAAGAGAAGCGGTGCCTTCACAGCTCTCCTTGTGTTGCAGCTCCGTCATTATGGCACATAAAAACAACTTGGCCACCAATGGATGTATTCATCTTTTGATTGTCAAAATAATACAGAACGTTTGAACTAAAATGTGATCCTTGATTTATTGCAAGAACGTGTGCATTGTCATCATCACCATCAGGTACAACAGATAAAACATCCGCTGAAAGCTAATGCGGGTTTATTTCAGGGCCGGTATCCTGCAGAGGGAGATAAAGAGCTGCCAGGTCTGCTGGTGTGTGTGTGTGTGTGTGTGTGTGTGTGTGTCCGTCCTTTGCACCACTTGTATGTAAAGTGAGTGCAGTGAAGTCAGTGGCGATTCTGGAGTCTGTTGGGGCCCTAGGCAAAAATTAAGTGGGGGGCCTTCCAACTAGCGTTCATCGCCATCACGTCAGCGTCCTGATGCTTACTCCTCTTCCTCTTTTTTTTTTTCTCTCCTACAGGCGGATAATTCCTCTTAACTTTTCTTTGTTGACTTTCATTGACAAACTTTGGTTTTCACAGCAATAATGCATGCAACACTAAGCAAGGCAACAGGAGTGAGCGCTGTCAGATGGGGGCCCCCGTGTAATTGCAAAATTTGCACATTTTGAAACACTGCTGTGGTTTAAAGTTTGTCAGCCTTCAGGGGGGGGGCTTTACTGGTCTGGGTCTGGTCTCCCCGAGAAGTTACCTGCTTTGCCTGTTGACAAGCAGCGCCTCTGAGTGAAGTTAACACATCAAAGCAATACTACTTAAGATTTATTTTTCACCACCTGTAGACAGAAACACCAGAAGGCTGTCCCATTGTGGCACATGTACTGCTATATTTATATTATCATTAAAACACTCAAATTTGAAACTACAACAGGATCCTGTTATGTAAAGTTGCATGAATCACAGAGAGAGTTTGTAAGAGTCTGTGTTTGTCACTCTGTGTCACTCATCCTGCTCTCAGATAATCCCGACGAGTCATCAATTGAGGGCTCATCTCATCCTCATTAATCTCAGCTCGTACTCCACTTCCAGCTTCCTGCTTTTGGCCTCCTGACCCAGATAAACATAGAGGGGGGTCACCCCCAACACCTCACCACTTTGCAGGCTCAGTTACAGACTGCTTATTAAAAGTTTGACGAGGAGCATTTAGGGTTTAGTGTTAACCCTTCCGATGCCTTTTATGAAGTTGTAACAGATACATTTAGATACCGCTGTAGAAAACCTAAAACCACGAAGTCATCACTTTGTGCATTAGTATGTGCAAGTGTGTAGGTCCTAAATGTGGTTACTGCTGTGTTATCTATGATCATGTTTGGTATTTTTATAAGTTAATGATCACTTTATTTCTACAGCACTTAAAAAACACAAATATAAGTCCTTTCATAAAACATCAGTACAAAAATAATCCAAGAAAAAACAGCATAGTTTGAGGTATCGAGTGCAGCTTAAAACAACACAACAGCTGATTCAAATTCTACAATGAGAGAGCGAACAAGCGTTAAAATCAGAGGTTAAAATACATACTAAATTTTGATTTTACTTTGTTTGATTGTTTATTACGTTCATTAAAAATAAAAGTATTATAATCTTTGTTGTCTCTGACTGAGCTGCTGCTAACTTGAGTCCTGATTTGACCTGATTGAGGATTGAATGTTATGAAAGTTAAAAGTTTATACTCAGCACATTTGTCATCTACAATATGTTTAAAATCTTCTTTGAAGAATTTGAACCTACACTTTGAGACTTTTTAACGCTTCTGGATTCTCTCAGTTTGTACATGGATATCAGTATCCACAGTCCAATTCAAGACGGCCAACACATCAGAAGCTTCTATTGCATTTTGTTCTGACACTTTGACGTCCAGGCTCGACAGTGCAGAAGGATGCGTGGGCAGAGTTTGACACTTGAGGGCTTTTTCCATATTCATCTGCTAAGGGGGGAAAGTTTTACTCGTGCATTTACAGTAAGAGTGATTTTATGACATCATTATCTTTTAGAGTCAGCTCCTGTCCAAACTTAAACCAGCGAGCTGGGAAAATGGATAAAACTCCAGTGGACACAAACTGAGAAAAGTTTAAGTGAAGACTTACCGTACTTCAAAGCATGTCTATGCCATGTCTATCTAACTGCATTTGAATATTTAGTTTTAAATAGTACAGGTCAATAGATGAGCTCACAAGAAAGAGGAGGATTTGCAAGAGGCATACTTTTGTTTAAACCTCAAATATTGATGGTAATGAAAAATGAGCGATCGTTGCAAGACCATATTGACATACAGTAGATACACCTCAAATATAAATATAACTTCCAAACCTCACATCTTTAACAAAAGAAGGATATTATACACTGGGATTTCTCATATTTTTACAAAAATAATTGACAATACTAATGGCCTGCCTGTCCAGTAAAATACACGAACAATCCCGTTAATCAGATCATTAAATAATAACATTCACTGTGGGTAATAGCAGGCCAAAGAGATCAGTACAGTATACATCCAAATGTAAAAAACAAAGCCTATGCTGAGAAAACCAGAACAATGACATGTATGTTTCAGAGAAAGGAAAATCACAGTACATTTAAAGTTGGTACAGAAACAAACTCAGCAGACTGGATCCATATAAGACAACACATTATTCTGAAGTTAACTCAAAAAGGCCTCTGACATTTTTGTTATGTGGACAATGTTTAGTTTATGAATGAGGATTCAGAGTTGTTGTCCTGCGCTGTCTGACACATACGGCTAGTGTTGACTGTGTCACTGTGGGTTATGTAATGCAGCAGATAGTCTTCATCACGGAGGTGTGACATGTCATGCATCAGCCCCAGTGATGAAGACTTCAGTGTTTGTCCCCTGGTGTCTTCACAGCAGCTCCTCCTTGTCTATCTCCTACTCAGGAATAAAACTCCGACTCCTTTTTCTTTACATCACTACTCAAGATTGAGCATCAGGGGCATCGTCCTTTTTAAATTAATTATAGCTTGGTGATTCATATTAAATTGTTGACACACTCTCAGAGGTAAAAGTAGTCTAAAGGTTTAATTGACCTAACCTTTCCACACTTTTTTTCAAAAAGAACAATTCTGCATGTTTTGTTGTAATGCCAGGTCTCATGTTTAATTTGATGATAATTTTTCTTCATAAACATATAGAATCCCAATGCCTTATTATATACTCCATTATAGTTCATAGTGGAGCAGGAGCTGAACCGCATATGCCAATGAGTGATTTTATTATTTATTGATACATTACTTACATTTTCTGCTGTAGTTTACAAACGTATTGTTTGTAAACTGTTTCTTAATCATGTAATATTTATTTGGATGCGTGCTGCTGCTGCTGCTGCTGCACCTTTTGGAAAGTGCACCTTTGTGAAAGAGATCTTGATGTCAATGGGTTAATTACCTGGTAAAATAAAGGTAAAATAAAAAAATACCTGGTTAAATAAAAGTTAAATAAAAAAAAAAATAGAACTGGCTTACTCGTACCTGTGGTATACCTTATACCACTCCTACAAAGGATTGAAATCTCCATCTGTAGGCTTTTTTAAAAAACTTTAGCCTGAGCTGCATATATCAAACTGTATTTTGCACACTTGGCTGCTTTTAAAAAAAAAAAAAAATCATAATTCTTTATTTATCTATCATACTATGCACTGGCAGAGCTAGTATTTTGTACTGTTATCTATGAGTCCTGGCTATGCATTGTGGCTCATGTGTTTTTTGTATGGGTGGGATATGCATGTATATATATGTGTTGTGTGTTTGTATGTATGCCGGCTGCTGGAACACCTACATTTCCCTGCTGGGATGAATAAAATATATCTTATCTTATCTTAATTTAAACATTTCTTCGTTTTCACATACTTAAATATTAATAATTGACAAGCTTTTATTGTTTTGTGTTTTTAGCATAGACTGAATATTAAATGTTACATGTATTTGGTTATCAGCATGAGGTAAAGTCTCGGGGATGCGTCCAGTCTGCCAAAAAAAGAAGAATAAAAGAAGTAAAGTGATATTTTATGAAGTTTTGTGTGACGTGTGTAGTAAGTGAGCAGCAGCAGCAGCAGCAGCAGCTCCTCTGGGCGGACTCTCCCACTGTAACCACCGCCTCTTTCTCCAACTGCTCTGGGACACATTCATGCCTCCACTCTCTTATTTATGATCACCAGTCCGCCCTCCAGGACCCTTCTAGGTCGGTGTGACCGCATCCATGAAGTGTGAAGACGACATGGGAGTCCCCGTGTACCCGAGATGACCGATGATTTGGTCAAATAGTCACTTCTTTTCGTCGCCAGAGAGGGAAACTTAAAACAAGGCTTGTTTTTGGAGTCCCACCTCCCCTCCTCTCTCCCCGTAGGATTTGATTCAAAGGCTAAAAACCAAGATGGCCGCCGATTCCGTGCAGGTAGGAAAAGTTGACAACTGTTTCGAAAAGTGCGCAAACTTTCTCCAAGGGTTCAATTATAAGTTAGCGCACGGTTTTATTCCGTTGAAGTTCAGTGGCTGCGTGTTCATGGTGATGTATGAAAAATAGGGAACGGCCTCTGTAAGATCCCACAGGGTTGTCTGGGAATTATCCATGGATTGAGGCCTGGGAAACAATTATCTAAAGTTACTTCTTCTCAAATATGCAATATTGTATCTCAATGTATCCCAAGTTGTATCCGAGACGCTGCTGTGTTGTTTGATGTACCGCGAAGTGACGTCAGTGTTAAACATGTGAAAGTTCTAATACCTGTGAAATAAAGTTTGTTAAACGTTATCGTACATGACTGTAGCCTCACGTCAAGTTACCCAGCACTGAACTATTAATGGACTGTGGTTATTAATAAAAAAAAAAAGTGTTGTAAATGTTAAACCTATTTTCATAGTTTGTGAGGAGCTAGTGTTCACTGGTTTTGATAGTTTTCATGTTTTTCAAACTCGTTACACACCGGATGAACTCAGCATGTCACCGGCAGCGTTAACACAAGGCAGATCAATATTCTTACGTTCAAATGCAACGTTTTCATAGTAAACGAAAGATTAAGTACATGTTTCAAGCTTTACAATCGTAGTCTCATCATTCTCCCATGAACAGTCATGACTCACTGATCAATGTGGTTTCACTTGAGTGACGTCATACTGCAAATAAATCTTTTCCTATTTATTTAAGATAGCGTCCAAAGACCTGAAATCATCCACGACATTTATTTAATCACGTTTAACACTAAATCAATCTCTGCTTCTTCTCTGCCTCTGTTATCTAAGACAGTCTGATTACTTATACATTATTACTCATTCACCGGGAGTATTGGTGGAGGTAAAAGATTACAGCAAATAACAAAAACACTTTTTTTTTTTTTTTTGATGAGTATACGTTTGAATGTTTCTTGTTCATTTGATTGCTGGGGCTTGCACAGGCTGAAACTGATCACTGAAGCAACAGGTGCTTGGGTGAACCAGCTGGATCATAAAGTGTCTTTATTGTACACAGTGCCATGAAAAGATGTCTCAGCCATGAGCAGTTCTTTCTACACTCGCTTACGCTGTTATGTTTTCATAGCAGACCAAATTCAACTGTGTCTTATAACAGAGGGCAAGACCACCTGTTTCTATTCTTGAATATTGAACATAACTGGATATTGACACCCTTTACTGATATGAGATCCATTAATTCAGTAATATATTTATATAAAGTCATCAATTGGCTTGACTGAATGAACTATATTAATTTAAAGATCTGTTTAAGAGGTATGGATCTGTAGTGTACCATCATTATTTGGTTCCCCCCCAATTTTTTTTTGTATTTTCTTTTTTTCGATTTTCTTGTTCATCATAAACGTATATTTAAACATTTTTAAATCATCAAAAACGAAATAAAGAATTTTAATGTTGAAAATCACAGCATATGGAGGGGCTGCTAGCTGAGCTGCTGCTAGGTTGCTTAGCTTATTTCAAGGTGGACAGCTTTCAAAATATTATATAATTCTAATGATATATCAATAAGGTTTAAAAGGGAAATGTAATTGCTTAAATGTAATGATACAGAGACAGTTAACATTAACTGAAAGACTATTTCAATAAGAAGTCAAGTATAAAATGATCTGTGGTGCCTTTCCACTGAGCTTTGTTAAAAGTAAAAAAAACTCATTTTGTGTTCTTGACACCCAGTCATTTTGTGGGCACTCAAGTGGAAAGTCAAACTGACCCCTCTGTTCGAGCTGGGATGCTCACTGCCTCTGAATTACCCTTTAAAAAAAACTCTGTCTCTGTGTTTGGGACTCTTTACTCTTTATGGATTATGTTTCTTGTCAATGACAAATAGTCACAGTTATTGTAATACACTTTTCCGCTCTGTTACATTCAGCGTTTAATTAATTTTCTTACACTTATCTTACTGTCCATTAACATAGCCCTGAAGTGTGAGACATTACCTATAGTTTGTCACAGTGTGGGATATGTCTCATGCCGGTGTGAAGGCTGCGTTTTGAAGGATCTGCGTTTATTAGCCTGTGTTGCTATTTCTGGTGGGCATCGGAGCACCGGGGCTGTGGCCAACACTCTGCAGCCAGCTGCGGGGGTGAGACAGCAGGGTGTCAGGTTGTAGGCTGAGATAGGCCTCGTGCAGAAATGGAAAGGGTTCAGTATTTAAAGCTTGAGCCTGGATAGTGCCCTCAACTTTTCCATTGTCCCATTGTGTGAATGGAGCTCTTGCTGCAGGAGCTTTCAGGCTTAAAGAGCGAGTTAACCTTCTTACACTTGAGGCCTAGACCTAATGTTTGCTTTAACCTCACAGTTTCTTTTCATGTCTCAGGCCCAAGAAGAGCTCTTTTACACGCTCAAGATGTTACACAGAACAGTTGCTTTACACCTCTATAGGAATATGTATTTTTTTAACTTTATCAAATAAGGGTCCTAGATGGCAATTCACATAACTTCAGCTATAATGTTTTAGTTTTTTGGGGGATCAAATGCCCCTTTTTCTATAAATCATATTCAGCAAATAATATTTCTTTTGAATATCGAACTTAACATGAAGCTCAAAGGTTTTAGAAATGCTTTTCATTTGTTGTTAGCCTTAAACATTTCACTAAGCAGCTAGCAGCCGAGCCACACTGACAAGAACAAGCTCCCTCCATCCATCAAAATCTGTATGCATTGCGGTAAGAGTGGAAACATTTGCTTACAATTCCTCCCTCACTCGTCTTTGAACCTAATAAGTCCTGAGTCCTGGTGCAGCGTCACTCCCCCGACAAGGCAATACATTCAAGCAGCAATAAATGATAAGGGCCTTACAGGTAAAAAGAGCAATCCACAGAAGTATTGTACCCAGAGAGCAGCAGCCAGTGTTACAAAAGAGAGCGCCCTTTCCTCTTTTCTCTGGATATACTTTTTGTGTTTGATCTTAATTTAAAGCTCAGACTTTCTGGGTCTACCGCCTGATTTATTTCCACCTTATCTGATTGGCCTTTCATGGATTTCCTTGCATTGTTGTGCAGTAAAATAGCCCATTTTGGGTGTCCTCACGCTGTCCTTTAACCACGCTGGGCAAACGGCTACACTGCAAACAAGTTTTGCAAGGCATTGAGCAGAAGACAAGATTGGCTTCTCCCCCTCACACAGAAATTCTTGCACTTCCAGGAGTTGGTGACCTCCGTTTAACCTATGAGTCACCAATGAGCCTCTGGACCAGGATGTGTGCAAACTATAGTTTCCTCTGAAGTGAGCACCTATAGAGGAGGGGGCGGGGGGGGGAAGGTGGGAGCATTCATGAGGGTTGGGCGAGAGTATGACTGAGCCCATGGAAATAATTTATCTTACCTATGAAGGTTTTCCCCACATAAACATAAATCTATCTGCCAGAAGCCCAGAGGATGATTTCAGTTTTCCTCTAGGTTACTGTAAATCTGAGGTGTCCAGACAGAGCCTTGGATCCTTGTGCAGCTTCTTCCTTTCAAAAAGCTTTTTTCTTTGTCGATCAGTCCAAATATTCATCACAGGTTTCTGATGTTACCAGGTTGGGCAGGATCCCGACTATAAAAGGGACCTGAACAAACCAGATAAGCCATCACTTACACTTACAGTATTGGGGGGGGAAAAAAAGGGTTCCTGTTGTTTATCAGTTGATTTTTTTTTTTTAAAGATAATTGAAACCATTGACACAAGTGAAAACACAATTTGACGTCATAAAAATTCCCTATTTAGTCTCTTCAATAGGCAGAGGCTGTCAGGATGAACTGCTAGCAGAGCTGCTGCTAACTTTAGCTGAGCTTGCTTTTGTTTAGGGGTTAGGATTCCTTCAGAGTTAACCGTCCATGAGGACTTAGGAGCAGCAGAATTATCCACAGAGGTATCCTCCTCTTCAAAACAAATTCACCAGGATATTAAAAATTACCCTAAACAACAAAGGACTTTCATATCAATCATCATTGTCTCTTGGGGTGCCAGGTAGCCTTAGCGGTTATGACGCGTGTACAGGGGATAGAATCCTCAGAAGTGTGCAGCCCCAGTTCGACTCAGACTTGCCATCTTTGCCGTGTATCGTTCCCCAATCTGTCATCCCTGTTTCAGATCTATCCACTCTTCTTCTTATACAATAAAGGAATATAAGCCCCTAAATATCGGGCGATGAATGCTGCAATACTGCACAATGTAATCACACATTGCACTTTCTTTTCATATTGTACAGGCCTGAATTACTGTCACTACTTTTTGTTCCATTTAGTCCTTTCTGTCTCTTTAAAGAAGAAATTCACCTTCCTCTCATGGCAGCTGTGTAATCTGACATGTGTCACTGTTTCTGCTTTGTTAAAGGTAGTTCTGTCTATCTCGGGTGGAAATATCCAATAAGTTATCATTGTTGTTATCAACGTAAAGTTTATCCAGGTCCCCTGTCTAGATCATCTCTAGCCACTGCATGAATAATACTACTGAGTATATTTAGCTTTGTGTTACAGTGTTACTCAACCTCAAACTTCATCTTTATCTACTCTCAGACTTGAATGGTTTTGTGTGTGTGGGGGGGGTGCACAATGGACAGCCAGTGTTTTGTTTTGAACCTGGGTTAATTTTAGACTCAGTCCTCTCCCTGGAGTGAGATTAGGTCCCATTCTGGGCCGCTCTGACCTCACAACGTTAAAGCTAAGAGGGATTTGGCTGTCGCTGCTTGGACAGTTTATCCTCCCTGTTGATGTCAATGGTCTGTGGGGAGAGAGCTTGCAAAATGAGAGAGAAGCAGACGCTAGCTGCGTGAATGAGCGTGGCTATGGACGGCGGCTCTGTCAGCTGTGGCGTTGCCTAAACCTTTTGTGGATATCTTTGCTTTTACTCGACGGTCGAACTTCAGCGGAGTTCATGTTATGACAGTTTAGTCAGGCAGCAGAACATGCGTGGACTGGTTTGTTCAACTGATCTAGTGATGGAGTTGGATGAGAGCGATGAAGCGATGGTAAGGCAGAAATATTGTCTTAGAGGTTTTGCTTAATTGTCTTGAGCTTTCCTTTTGAAATCAGCTGAAGCGGTCGTAATATTTAATGGTGGGCGGATTTGAACCCATAACTCGCGGTGGTAAAGTAAACGATGGCTTGAATGCAAAACAGACCCTGTGGTTGTCAGTGTGATGGGCTGTTTTCCACATCTCATTATGCCCTTCTTTTATTTAGAGAGTAAGCTCATTGCCACTACACCGTTGTGGCTCAGACTCAAAGGGCAGTGGAATCTGGTTCAACCAATACATTTGACTGATTTTGTTACTTCTGTTATCTGGAGCTGCAGACGGTGAATTTGAGGTTGTCCCCTTTGCACTGAAGATATTTCCAAAACATCTGAGGTGACAGATGTTTTATAACCACCATGCTTTTGCATTACTAATCAAATAATCTTAAGCCTGTTTTTAAGCAGTTACTCACAGGTTCAGATGATACAGTGTGGTTTAATAGTTGTAACCACGTTATGTAATTGAAAGAATGTTTTACAACTTGAAATGTGAAATAAGATGTTTTTAAAGTGAAGAACTTGAAAGGAATAAACAGATTCTTCACAGTAATGCTCGAATAGTCACAGTTTTCACCAGCGCAGCACTGAATAGATGTTAAACTTTAAAGCTGAAGCCATTCAGGAAGTCTATTCTAATCCCTCTTTAGTACTGGTGACGGCTTTAAGGATGCAGGTAAATGTTGAGTGACAGCAGCAGTAAAACAACACGCACACAGACTGGCCCAAGTTCAAAACACACCACAGCTTGACCCTTTGATAGTCTGGGCACGCTGCAGGAGTCTCTAAATGCTGACAGGTGGCGAGATGATTTTCAGAGCATTGAAGGTGGTGTCACTTGTGCTGCGTTTATTTTATTTAAAACTTGTTAATATTTGTGGTGAACGTTTAAACAAAATGTTGTACTTAAACTGCAGGAAAAAAAACAGCATTAGTTCTGTTTTGTTTTTATTTTTTTGGTAACGTCAACAGTTAATCAAATAGTGGCATAGTGACAAAACCCAAATAAATAGCACAAATGTGGCTAATTCTCCATCTTAGACTCCGACCTGATGGTAAGTCCTGAACAAAAGGAAGCTTGTGCTCATTTATAGAGGACAGGCACAACAGACAGACTGACTGAAATGCACAGGTGAAGACTTACCTGTATATGTGCAGGATACATTCTCCAGCATTAGTTCTTTCTTCAGCAGGTGTTTATTTGCAGTGAGAGGCTTTCTGAACGCTATCAGGAGAGGGGCTTGTACTTGTTCCCGCTTATCGTCACGTTCTGGTGATGCCATAGTAAAAGGCATGTTTAAAATGTTTGCAGACATACCCGACATTGGTTGGACTTGATGACACATGTTTTGCCCCTTTTTTGCTTGAAACCTCTGTAAGGATGTAGCAGTACACAAAATTCCTGAACAGTATGTACAGCACCTCACACGTTTCTGGGTCTCAGTTTGGTATTGTGCAGTCAAGTAGGAAAAAAACCCTGAAAGAATAAAGTCTTTTTTTTGTATCATGTATCTTAATGAAGTAAACATTGTTGGTACTCCGTCAAAGATCCTTCCCTGTGGATGATCTCTGAACAGCTTCAGCTTGAGCTTGTATGTCTGTTGTTTCCACAAACATACTCGTCTTCAGTTGGACGACATTCAGTTTGACACTAATCTCTGTCCTTTTGAGCTCGACTAGCCTGGCTAAGACAACTAGCCGGTTACAGCTGAGTCGATAAACAACTGGTGCGCTGCCAAAAGATGCTTGCCAATGCTTGCAAGGAGTCAACAGTAAGAGACTGAATCAGGTTTGTTTCGTAGGAGGTGGTCACATAAAAAAACGGCACAGAGCAAATGTAGCATTAATAAAAACATCATCATTATTGACCTGTTTGATAGGGGGAAGAGAATCTCACTGATTACTATGAGGACCACATTAACTGCTGGGCTGAAACCATTACTGTTGCTCTTCCTGAGTTTTCTACAGCTTCCTCACCGTTCATGACAAAATGGAATTACATGCGTTCTGTTTTGAGGCAGTAGCTCAAGCTGTTGGGAAATATTGAAGGTGTAGCTGTTCTTATTGTGAGTGTTTGTGTTGAGAGTGTAGCCTGTTGAACACTGTCTGCACGGCCTTTTTGTTGACGAGGTTACTGACCCTGGTATGTCCTCTCCTCCTCTTTTTGCCTGCTTGCTTATTTTTCCTCCTCCTCCTCCTCCTCCTCCTCCTCCTCCTTCTCTCTTGCTGACTTCCTTTAAATCACATTCTTCCCCTCACCTCCTCTTCTTCATCCTCCTCTTCTGTCTCTGCAGGGGGATACCAGGGGCCAGATGGTGGCGGAGAGACTGGGTCTAGGACACAACCTGGACCTGTCCGACACCATGGTCCAACAGAAGCTGGACGAGATCAAGGAGCAGATCCGGCGGAGATCCGCAAGGAGCTGAAGATAAAAGAAGGAGCGGAAAACCTACGAAAGGTAAAATGGCTGATTTTAGTTTGAAAGTCTTTCTCTCCATTATTTGGTATTCCTCGCCATCGTGTTGGGTTTCTCTGAGATATATTTCGTAAAACAGAAAGAAGAAGAAATCTGTCAACATGTAAGAGACTAATATCCTGACTTTGAGCACTGAGCACGGTCAGTCTTACAAATAACATTGGTCCTCCGTTCCCGTTAGTCAAACGATATGATCTATAGTTGAACCCTTTCTGCCTTTTTGATGTGTTTGAAACTCTCGGCTGTTAAAATATAGTCTTATCTGGGAAAAAAAGCTCTTAGAATATCTTTCATAAGGACATTTCACAACCTTTTTCACCAGCTGAATAATCTCTCCCCATGACCACTAAACCACCATCATGGAGTTTTAAATCTTCATAGTCAATCATCAGATTTCCTCAAGTCTCCTCCTCTCTGCTCTCTTCAGGTCACTACAGACAAGAAAAGCCTGGCGTATGTCGACAACATGCTGAAAAAATCCAACAAGAAGGTTGAGGAGCTTCACCAGGAGCTGCAAGAGCTCAACGCCCACATCGTGGTCAAAGACCCCGAAGAGCTGCTAGGTAACGGACGTCGATGTAGCCACAGAAGATTAGATAAACAGTCATGCTGCACACACAGGCTGAAATAACACACACATGCACAAACAGGATCCTGTGGACACGCAGAGTGTGAGGGCAATTCCTAAGGAGTTGAACTGGGAGCTGTCAGACAAATTTCCAGATTTGGTCCGCACCGGGACTTGGAACACTCCAGGTCCCAACCCAAGTCCCTACAGACTGAGCTACTGCTGACCCCCGCACTAAACAAAAACACATAATATGACGTTGTCGTCGTTTGCTATTACGCTTCACGTTAGTTGATTTCAGGGCTAACTGTAGGGTTAGCCAAACGACTGCTTTTATATCCCTTCACTCCTCGACAGTGATGGAGGAGTGATTATCATTGTTCTGTTAAACACTAACTAACTATCTTTTCATTTCTTACATTTTTGGCCCAGACGTTTGAACTGTGTGTTTTAGTTGTCGGAGGTCAACTCTCCCCCCCCATCTCATTCTCATGAATTAGATTTTCCATACTGTAGGTCTGCTTAATTTTCATTTTGATATCGCGGGCAATGGAAAACGTCAATAAGGGGACAAATCTAGATGAGGATTTGTATAGGATAGATAGATAGGAACTTTATTAATCCCTTGGGAAGGTTCCTTCAGGGAAATTCAGATGGGGGAACCTTCCCAAGGGGATTAGTAATCGCTTTAATAATATATCTATACAACTACATCTGTGAATATTGAACAGCTTTTTCTGAGCATAATAAGGTTGGTTTCCTCATACAGCTGATTTAATTGGCAGCTGAAAAGCAGGTGTCCTTGGTTGCATGAGTTTTCTACAGTATTTCTTTTGTTTCTTTTTCTATATGAAAGACTCATTTTGAGCCTTAAGTAAAGCTGGGATTGTTACAAAATAGCCTTCCAATTATTGCCATTTCCATTATCACCTTGTTCACTCCTAAATACTGGTTTTGTTTAAACACAAGATATCACTATATAATACGTTCGGCTACACTGTGTCACCTATATGAGCTCACAAACACACACAGAGCTCATTGAGTGTTTGGAGGTGACTCACTCTCCAGAGGCTGACATTGTTACATTCCACATTCCACCGACGGCTACAATGAGCTGACGATTGTTCCCCTCCGAGGCTGTTGAAAGCCCGCTCCTGTGCGTTTGTCCACAACAATGGAATTAGGAGAGAGTTAGACCACAACAGCAGTGTGTGTTCAATGATGTTTTGTTACAGTATTTGCCTCATAAGTGTCGTGTGTTGTTGGAGGCGAGTGTGCAGGTGAATTCAGGAAGAGAAGGAATGGCATTTGTCTGCGAGTTAGCATCACATCCCCCTGGTTCAGTTGACCTTAGGAAGTTGAGGACGGTATGTGTGCGCGAGCTTGGGGAGGGGAGGGAAGTTGTCTCGGTAAGGGGTTATCTTACGTGGGAACAAATTTAGCCTGACTCCTTATCTAATGAACAAGGACTTTATTTTTAAGAGACGTGACGCCAGCGGAATGTCGCTGCCCATTGCAAATTGATGGCGAGGGGGCTGAGGGCAGCTAAACTCTCAGTCGTGACACACATTTTGTTAATTGTGAGAGGACAGTTGCTTCCTGAAAGTTGCTTTATCTGTAGTTTTACACGAGGGAGTAAAGACGTCGAGGTTATAGTCCGTCACTCTCTTGAAGAGACGTGGACAGAGTCGCTCTCAGGCGGCGTCTCAGAGCAGCCGCAGCCCTGACACGAGGTCACCAGGCAGGTCACTCTGTCACATATGACCTCATTCAAGAAGAGACTTGCCCGAAGAGTTCAAGTCCAAAGATGCTCTCCTGCCAGTCCTCATATTATATCTGAACCGCCCACTCCACTTTTGGGTCCAGTTTTTCTGAATGATGATGTAATAAGATTGTTAGCATGTTCCTTATTGCCTTCTCTTCGGACACACATGGGGTTAGTCTGAGGGAGGGTTCCCCTTGTCATCTATCCAGCAGTGACATCAGCCCTGCAGCTATTCAGTAGCTCAGTATCTGGTCCTCTGGCCCAGCGTAGGCTGAACCACGCCGAGAGGGAGGGGCCGCCGGGTGCTTGAATTCTTGGCTCGATGCGACCTTGACAAAACTAAACCCCTCCTACGCAGAGAGGAAACCCCACGTAGTCTGGATGACATAAGCAGCACTTACGCATGTGTTTCTCTGTCTCATGACGCTGACCTTAACTCGTCTTTGTGCACTCGCAGTGACGCCGCAAACTCTTTATTATGCAATAAAAACGTTAATGTCAGTTTTGCCCCGAGCCCATGTTCAATGTACATGTTGCTTCACAACTCAACGTTCAAGTGTCCACTGTGATTGTCCCATCTAGCTCTTTGCCTGGGGAGAGTGAACATCCTCCCTTTCCTCCTCAGAAATCTCTGCATCGAAGCTCTCAGCTCATTAAGGGTCATTAGATGAATCATTTAAAACTTTCAGTTCAAAGAATCACATGCTTCCTTTTCGCCTGTGCCCCGCAGGTGTTCAAATAAATCTTCAGACATTCAGAGGGAATGAATCAGAGTCTCGCCTGCTGCTATCAGTGTTTGGCAGAATAACTGATTTTGCTCACACGTTTTAGTGATCTCAGTCAGACGTTACACTTCGGGGAAAACTGTCTATTTTCATGTTTTCTGTTGGAGTTCAAACATTTTTTTTTATGGCTTTGTTTTGGATTTGGTGGAACTGTGTTGTTTCTCTTTCTGGGACTTTTCTAAAGTGACACTTTACGACATACAGAAACTGAACTAGCAAGTCAAGTCAGGAGAGGTTAGGCAGGTTTTTTGCCCACTTCGTGTGTGTGTGTGTGTGTGTGTGTGTGTGCGTGCGTGTGTGTGCGCGTGATCCCTGTTGAGGGGTTTTCTCTGCACCTTTTCGTGTTCAGACAAGACAACAAAACAATGAGTTCATCTCCCAGAATTGTGGTCAGGGGTTATAAGACATCGTTCTTGTTGTCACATTTTGTGTGTGAGTGATGCGTGAGTAACTTAAAAAGCCTAAATATGAACGTGTCGAGCATCACTCTGGTTTTTAAGTTGTGCGTTGAAAAGCTGTGTTCCCAAAAATAAGATTGACGTTGCTCTGATTGTGTCATTGTCAGCGGCGTTCATACAGTATTTGCATGCACAGTTATGTCACTGTAGCTGTAGTAGTTATCTGCAAGTTCACACTTGTTTTTAGTGTTTTGTTCCCAGTTTCTTTGAATAGAGTTGGCTGCAGGGTTTCCCTCTGCTGTCAAACTTTTGAAAAGAAATTAGGTGAGAGCCAATGAGAAAACATGAAATCAAAGCATCATAACAAATCTAATTCCATTATTTTTAGTTGGTTTGGTGATTTTTTTTTTTTTTTTTTTAATACCTTTTATTTGTTTGATCACATGTTTTTATGGTCTGTGTTTGGAAAAAAAGGAGTTTAAAAAAGACACATCTGGTCTAATGAAAAGTGTCACTCTGACACAGTTTACCGGTCTGAAAGTCTGCTTCCTGTAAAATCTAAATGTTATTGACTGGAAGAACTGTTTGAGCTGAACTTAACAGCAGCCCTGTCTGGATTCATTTAGCGACTTCTGAAGCTGCTACCTGACATGTTATTGTAAGCAGTGATTGCTCATTTCACTGAGCTGCTTCACTGTTTAGCTTACTTCAAAAGGGCAGGCAGCCAAAAATAGCACTTACATGCTGAGTGACTATTTACAGTCAGTGTATCTTTGTGACAAACTCTGGTAGCACATGCAGAGTCCGTATATCTGTGCTTTTTCCTGAGGGCCATAAGAGGATGACTCTTACTACTTTTTTTTTTCTCATTACCCAGAATGCCCTTTGACCCCAGATACCCCCAACAGTGAGGTGAGAATGTGCACAAGCAGCAGCCGCCTGGCCGCCCTGAAAAGACAGAATGACATCGAGCTCAAGGTCAAACAGGGAGCAGAGAACATGATTCTGATGTACTCCAACGGACCCTCCAAGGTAAGAGTCAGCACGGGGGAGGGGTCACATGACTGTTTGGGTTTGAGGAGGGTCATGTTAGACAGTGGGATACAATAATACACATCACAAAACCCTTTTTTAAAAAGTCAATCAGAAGAGAAACTAAGGATGAACAAATTCGGACTTAAACAAACAGCAACAGTTTATGAAACAACTTTCTGGTTTAACTTTGGATCAGTGCACTGAAAACAAACATCCTGAACAATCAGGACTACTGGCAACTTTATTTTTTATAAATATGTGCTCACTTTCCACTTTCTCTTAGCTCATTACCTTTTTGGATTTTAAGTCCTCTATCAACTACGATCTATCTCAACCTTAGACTTTGCATACATTAATAACAGTAAGGTAAAATAAATACATTTAAAAAGTATATGTTTATATACTGATTTAGCTGAGAACAAAGTCAGGACAGACTTTAGCTCAGTTTCCACCAAGCGGAAATAATAAATAAATAATATAAACATTTATTGACGTTGTCTTTGTCAAAATGTGGGAATGGTATCAAAATAACTGATCCATACCGTCCTACTTTTTTGCTTCCCTTCTGTTTGTGGTGCAAAGCATACCAATCCGACCCTAAAGGGGGGAGCTAGACATACTGTCTGTTGATTGGTCAAAAGAATCACCACTTTCGTGCAACAGCACAAAACACGCCATGTTTAGAAATACACTGGATTTTGAGAGAGTAAATTGAAGGCTGTTTTTTTTTTTTGTTTTTTTTGTGGATAATGTCAGCTCGTAGCACCGCTCCGTGGACGACCTGGGAGGTGCAGACCTTCTTAGGGATCATTAGTGAAGAGGAGGTGCAGGTCCTTTATTGTTGCCCTTAGTTTGCAGTATTGGGTTCTTCGTTGAATTTATCGGCGGGCTACACGATGTCATGCTGCTATGGTGTCACACTCTTACGTGGCGTACGCTTCTATCGCCATCCTGGTTACACCCCGCGTACCAAGTAAGGGTTCGTTGGCTGTTGAAACGCAAGCAAGATCAGGTTTACTGTTCCAAACTGTACTGAACCAAGCCAGACCGCTTTGTGGAATGAGGCTTTATAAAACCGTTTTTTAAGGATTTCCAGAGTCACAATTAATCATTCTTATTAGCGTATTTATTTTTAAAGCTACCGTAGTCTTAACCACATCAAAACTGTAGTAATCATTCCTAGTTTAAAACTGGTTCTCAGTCTGCAGATGGTGGAATGGTGCATGTAGGATTTGCTTGTTGCAGCCTCCCTGTAGGGGAGAGGGAAACATGAGAAGGCGCTGACACGTACTGTGTGTCATGCATTGCTGTTTGTTCACAGAGCTCTTGGGCTCTCTGCGGCTCCTCTAATGCTCAGAGAGAAACACTGTAATTTAGTTGGGATGTGTGTCTGTGTGTGAAGTCAGCGGGACTAATAACAGCTGGAGCACCGAGAGCTGCTGATGCCCATCGAGGTCCGTTGTGTCTGTGGTAATTGAAGCCACTTTGTAGTGGAAGGTTAAGTGGAGTGTAAAGTTTCAGTAGAGTCATCTGCACTCTGCGAGTAGTATACTGCCTCATTTATTCATTTATTTGATTTAATTTACTGAGATCCCCATCAGTTATTACCACAGTAACAACTATTCTTTAGGTGTGTCTCTGTGGATGTTTGAGATGTAAGTTAAGTTACATGCGAAAAATAAATCCTTAATAAACAATTTGTTGTTTGGGGAATGACCTTTTTTTTTTTCCCTTTCAAAGCGAGTCATCAGTACCACTGAATCGTGTTTGTTGTGTGAAGCTACAGCTTCCAGGAGGTTAGCTTAATAACAGTACAAATAACAATTTGTTATTTGCACACTTCAAACTGTGGTCTGAGTGCAGGAAACTGTCCAGAATATCACTGCCCCTTTGCCAAGAAGTAAGGATTGCTTTGACATCAAAGCATATGAAATGATTTGCTTTGAACATATCTGACTTTAAAACAACTTTTTACCCGTACACCTCAGTTTATTAACCCGTTGCTACACCCCAGCATGAAGTCCACAAATTGTCCTTAAAACTTTGTGATGGAAATTTGCTCTGATATGGCTTCTGTTTAATAATTGTCTGCTTGTTGAAGTTTATGTCATGTTTAGTTGTAAAGTAGAATAAACATACGGTCCTTTTTAATAATATACAAGAAAACACAAGAATGTTTCATGCAGGACCTCAGCAGGTAACTAAAGTACAGTAAATGCAGTGTTGGGGAGTGACAGTGTTTTGTAGGTCACCTCCACATGTCAGACAGACAGAGGCACCTTCCAGTTGGAAGTATTCCTGTCATGATGTCAGAGAGGAAATGCCTTCTTGACGGAGGTCTTTCCTGAACGCAGCCGCGACATCCAGGATTTAAACTTCAGAGGAATTCTGGGTGGAGTTTGCTTACTTCACTAACTGTGTGTGTGTGTGTGTGTGTTTATGTGTATTTGAGGGTCAGCAATTACAACCCACAATGAGATTCCACCTTTTTTTCATGGATAAGATTTTCCATGTGGTCACTTGGGCTTTAGCTCCTATTAAGGGCATGAACCGGCACCATGGCTGTTTTGGATACAACAACAAAACACAATAAGTGACGAAGGATGATGTCCATGTAGTTGTTGCTTCCTGGTTGTTCTTTACTTTGAAGTAGAAGTATTGGAAGTAAAGGGTGTGTATACATATATCAAAATGGGATTTAATTCAGTTAATCCTGCATTACAAAATTAGTAATTCATTTCCATTGCTGTTTGTAGGATCGTAAGTTGCTAGCAACCGCCCAGCAGATGCTTCAGGACAGCAAGACGAAGATCGAGTTCATTAGGATGCAGATTCTCAAGGCCAGCCAGGCCAGCGAGCTGAGCTTCGAGAGTAATGATGTGATGGGTGAGCCCCAGCTTGCATTCTAATTCTACAATATGTCAAGGTTTGAGGAGGAACTTCACAACGGACAGAAAATTCCCAAATGTCTTGTAAAGTAATAAATCTCGTCCTGCCTTGCACTCCAGACAAGCCCATAATCAGCCCGCTGGACCTTCGGGTGGAGGAGCTTTGTCACCACGCGAAGATAGAGTCTGCTGTGGCCGAAGGAGCCAAGAACGTCATGAAGCTCCTGGGAACGGGAAAGGTCACGGAGAAAAGAGCACATTCAGAGGTAGATGTGTCTGTGGTGTGCATGTAAGCAGGTTTCTGTTCATGTAAAATCCACATCTTCTACCCCCTTTGGATTGTAACTGAAACTAATCCCTGCCCTGCTGCTGTGCTCCTGTCGAGTAAACTGGACTGTGTAATCAGTGTGTTTTTTCATTCCAATCTATTCCAACATATTTCCTCCTCTGATTTTTTTTTTCCACCCTCTTCTCGTCCTCCCTCCAGGCCCAGGCTCGTTTCAATGAGTCCAGTCAGAAGCTCGACCTCCTGAGATATTCTTTGGAGCAACGCCTCAACGAGCTGCCTAAAAACCATCCTCGCAGCATCAGCATCATTGAAGAGCTGTCTCTGCTGTCCTCACCGGCCCTCAGTCCCAGATCCAGCATCATCTCCACACAGAACCAGTACAGCACCGTGACCAAGCCCGCCGCGCTCACAGGTAACTGGACTCAAGACACAGCGACTGTTATTAACCTTTATTAACATTCATCTCATAACGGCTTCTTGTGACATTCAAACCCCTTCTGTCTTCTCAATAACCTTTAATGTCTGAAGGTGAGGTGTTCTGGGGGAAAATAATTCTTTATTCCCTCTATTTCAAAGGATTTTTTGTTTAGCTGTGTATTGTGGATGATGTATTTTGACCTGTGCTGTCAAAAGAATTAAGATTATTTTCTAACAAACAAAACAAAAACCCCTGGGAGCTATACTTGTTTCTATCTTTAACAAATCCCACAGTAAACTCGTACGATTTCTTCTCTTTCTCCTTGTTTTGCCTCCAAAACAACGTTTTTGTCACTGGATTACATGGCTTTAAAATGTTGGCACATTTCAAAATCTAGATCTCTGAGGAGACATTTTGGGTTCAGATTATTTTTCAAGTCATTTTTTTTTCTGCTAGTTAAGTCAAACCATCATAATAACCATCCCCTTATTCAGGGCTCAACATTATAACTGGCCCGCTGGCCCAGATGAATGATTGACAGTCCGGGCCAGTTAAAATACTGCCTGGGAAAAAAAAAAAGACTGTAACACGTTCTCAATTTCACAGCGGTATCCTGTCAAACCGGTGTTTTATCAGTAATTATTTTTTAAACGTCATGCTAATAACTGCTACAGCATCAACGTATCAAGCGCTCGTGCACGTGCATGTGTGTCATAGTTGAAAGGCAGCCGACAGCTTTACTGCTGTCCCTCCCACGAGCGCGCTCGCTACTCTCAAATTGTACACTCGCACACAGATGTTAGCGCAGGTTTTCTCTATTAAAAAATATGTTTGGTAAAACGGTTTTAAAACTATCAGATCCCGACAAAAGCCGAGCTTAAATCAGCATTCAAAGGGGAAAAAATCACCGGAAGAGTCGAGAGTGACAGCAGGGCATGACGAAAACAGAACGGAGAAGAGTTTCGGCCACAGTGACAGACAGCTGGAGGAGCTGGAACACGCTGCAGCTAAATTTCCCCTTAAAGTTAAGACTAGATCCTGGTAAAGATAAAAGTTATTCACAAAGCATCTTACCCCTTAAGAGATCTCCTAAAGTAAAGATCTAAGGATGAAGAGTTTCTCACAGAGAAAGGTAATCATAACAATTCCAGCTCTATCACATCCTCTTATTCATATCAATCAGATTTAGTAGACTCTTACAGTTACCAGCATGGTGAATAAACAGGAATTTAACTTAATGTCAACCCCTGCCTGATAGATTATTCTATGTAAAATGTGCAAGTAAGGACAGCAGAACATCTTTAAAAAAGAGGCAGACCGTTTGACTCATGGATGTGTATCGTCTCCTCCTCCTTCCAGGCACGTTGGATGTCAGGCTCATGGGCTGTCAAGACCTTCTGGAAAATGTCCCTGGTCGTTCTAAAGCTGCATCTGTCCCACTGCCGGGCTGGAGCCCCAGCGAGACAAGATCGTCCTTCATCAGCCGAGCCAACCGAAACCGTGGTGTGAGCTCACGTAACCTGACAAAGAGCGAGGAGCTTTCCAGTAAGTCCGCCTGAGCTCGTACACTGTCTGGAAATAAGTCAATGTTGATCAAGAAGATTGAAAAGCTATTCTGTGATTTCATTGAGCTTTACTTAAGTTACCAACGAACTACAGCTGGACCATGATATACATGTTAGACTGCCCACTATCACTGGTCACAATCAGGACATTGTGTGTCCTCAGATGAGATCAGTGCCGTGTTGAAGCTCGACAACACGGTAGTCGGCCAGACAAGCTGGAAGTTGGTCAGCAACCAGGCCTGGGACCAGAAGTTTACATTGGAGCTGGACCGGGTAAAAAAAAAAAAACACATTCACACTTGTGCCTAGAGGTGGGCGATATGGGAAAAATATCATATCGCGTTTTCTTTTTTGCAAAATCACGATTTTTATCACGATTTTATCACAATTTCTTTCATACTGATCTTTAGACAAATTTGAAAGTTACTGACCAGTTCAACCAAAACTATTTCCCTGTATAATGTTTTTAAATGCACAAAAACTGTGCTGACAAGTTTAATCTATTTGAAAAACATCTTTGTAGGAGGTCTGGAGGTCTCACCCAGAACATCTTTAGCAACAGAAATGTCTTTCCCTCAATTTGATCAATATTTATGCACAATTTGAAGGTTTTCCTCACCACTTTGAAATTAGGAGTTAGTTATGTGTCCTCTTTTTGTGTTCATGAGGAACATTTTCATGCAGTGATGCATTCATTTAAAAACATGTAGACTTCAAACATGCAGAGTTCCTACAGCTGGAGCGTCATACAGGCTCTGCAGCCTTTGTTGTTTTTTAATGAAATCATTGGGCTAACTTTAGTTTAGTTTATATATAATCAAACATAATACAGAATGTGTTCATTCTGTGACACATGATCAAAGTAAGTTTTACTGAAAGAAGAGTTTAATTCATAGAGGGGGCGGGACATTGTTGACTGACAGACAGACAGTCACCATGGTTACTCACTCTCACCTGCCTGCTGCTTTGTAACGTTGTTTAGTGTAATCCCTATAAATTCAGTTATCACAACAGGTGAGCTTCGGGTGGAGACGCTTGATAGTAACTTTTAAAAACCCAGAGAGAGCAGAAAACACCGACAGCAACATTTTAAACACCGGGGTTATATCGCTCATCACTGACTGTCTGTCTGAGCTCCGCTCTGTCTATCTCTCTGCAGACTGAACGCCTCTCCGGCTCGTTTAGAGTTTCTTGTGTCGCTATCCGAGATGTAAACTTAACTGTGCAAACTATTCAGGACACTACTGCAGATAAGTTAACTGTTGCTCACGCCGTGTCGTTTGGAAAAATATCACAACAATTGCATATAACCGGGATGGAGTTGATTTTGCAGACTTTAGGCTACTTTTAAGTTTCGTTTTCGTTTTCACCGCTGCAGAGCAAAAGAGGGGGAGACGTGTCTGTGTCTGAGCGTAAACTGCAGCATGATAGAATAAACACGTTAGCCTGGTTCTACGATCTCTCTGCTTTGGCAGATCGTCAGCACGTTAAAATCCTTCACGATCTAAGATCGTTATATCGCCCAACCCTACTTGTGCCATTGACCTACATCTGTGCTGTACACTTGGTGTTGTGTTTGACATTTGTTTGTGTGTCCTGTCCTGTAGTCTCGTGAGCTGGAGATCTCGGTCTACTGGCGGGATTGGCGTTCGCTGTGCGCTGTCAAGTTCCTGAGGCTGGAGGACTTCCTGGACAACCAGCGTCATGGGATGTGTCTATACCTGGAGCCACAGGGGATGCTGTTTGCTGAGGTACACACACACACACACTTTTCACTTATCCGTGTTGATCCATGCTGTAATGTTAAATCCCTGTTTGCAATGTTTGGAAGTGGAAATCTGGAAATCAGACATGCTGCATGTGAAGTCAAACAATTGACTTTGATCTTTTACACAATGTACTGACTGTTTACTATGTTGTCTAAATTTTTGTTTTTCCACTTTAGGTAACGTTTTTCAATCCTGTCATCGAGAGAAGACCAAAGCTGCAAAGACAAAAGAAGATTTTCTCGAAGCAGCAAGGTGAATTGTGATTTCCACTCACACATGCCAATGAAAACCAAAGCTTAATTTTAACATTAACATATCTTCCATGTGTTCGCTCTTTATCTCCCTGTCTGGTGTCTGCCTCCTTGTTATCAGGTAAAACCTTTCTGCGAGCCCCTCAGATGAACATCAATATAGCCACGTGGGGCCGCCTGGTGAGAAGAGCCATACCGACCGTTAGCACCAACTCATTCAGCCCTCAGGTGGCTGATACCGGGCCCAGCAGTCTGCCTGGATCTCCCACACCCAGCAGGTACTCACATACTGAACAACATGGACTGCCGATATCCAAATGTCATTAAACGGATGACATGCTTAAAAAAATCTTTGTGTTCCCCTGTCGATACGCAGTGACCCACTGGTGACCAAGCTGGACTTTGACAAAGAGCCCACCCCAGGACCCAAACACTACCCAGTACCCGATGACAACCGAGAACCTCTGGTGCAAGGCCAGCTGCCTGACAAAGAGGAGGTCCAGGTACAGTGATGAAGGAGACGCTGATATTGTTAAGGAAACACTTCACATAATTGCAGGTAGAGGACAACAAACTGCTTAAGAAACATGGCTGCCAATAAATACTCAGCGTGCTTCATAAATGACTTGACTGGATCTTGTTTGGTGAGGTTTAAAAAAAACAAATATGTCTTGGACACTTTCTTTCAATTAAATGTACCGTGAAATCCGGTGTATAAGACGCACTTTTAATACCTATTTTTTCATCTGAAAAGTTGGCTGCGTCTTATACACCGGTGCGACCAAATATACCAGTATAAAATACTGAAACACACGCCGTCATTACAGCGGGGCAGCAGCCCCTAGCACTGCGACCTGACGTGATTTAAAAACCCATCCCCATTCATTGTGTATTGAAAGTTGAGTGCACGCTGTGCTGGGAAAGACGGTGACACAGACCAGGCTGGCTGTGTGACTTTTTTTCCACATCTTTTCTCCCTCACAAGGTCATAATCGTGCATTTACAGTAACAGTGGTATATTGTTCCGTAAATAAACCTTGTGGAGTATTCTTTTGATTGAAAGAGTCCTATATTAAAGTTAAAGAGTGATCAGCGGAGTCGGGCAGAAGGACTCATAAGCTAGCAGGTCTGTGCCTCACAAGTCACAACTTTCCCTGCAGCAGGCTGAGAGCACAACTACCGTACTGTAGCTAGTAGGAGCGCAAACTCACGAAAGTGAAAACAGACGGAACTAAAAGAGCGACACAGCTGTACAGAAACTGCACGTTGTAGACATCGCTGAACACAATATAAATCGTCACGCAGGAAAACAGTTTCAAGTTTTTTTTTCTCTTTAAGAGACCTTCAAAACAGGGTGCGTCTTATATACCAGTGCGACTTATATTCCGTATTTTATAAATCTAAATAAATCTTTTTATAAATAAACCATTCCTATGTACTGCTTCATGCTCGCTAAGAGTTTTATGAACAGTATGGCCATAGCACTGATGACAAAGGGCTTTTTGGGGGGGCTTCTGCAGAGGACCCGTGGTTAGAGTAGGAAACCTGGGTTAGAGAGAGTGGAATGACATGCTGCAAAGTGCAGAGGGTCTGAGCTGATCCTGGGCCGTCTGCCTCAAGGACCAGTGATTATCAGAGCGTAAATGTGAAAATGATCGCGTCATAGCACATATTACTTTACTTTCCCACAGTGACAGGGCAGCTGTGGCTCAGTGGTAGAGTCGGTTGTCTCTCAACCCTAAAGTTGGGGGTTTGATCCCCAACTCCTGCTGCCACATGTTGATTTGTCCTTGGGCAATGAAACCCCCCCCCCAAAAAACACACACAAATCCATAAGGGGGTGCTGGGTCCGAAAAACAAATAGGTATGAAGAAGCAAAGGGTTTATTCACCAACAACAAGCCAACATACTCTTCATCAGACTTGGGCAAGACGCTTAACCCCAAGTAGCTCCACACAGCAGCGTGTGAATGTGAATGAATGGATTAGTTAATAAAAACCGATGGACACTTTACATAGCAGCCTCTGCCATTAGTGTGTGAATGGGTCGGTGTGACCTGCGGTGTAAAAGCACTTTGAGTTGTCAGAAGACTAGAAAATAGCTAAACAAGTCCATTTATTTGATCTTTCCCCTTTTTTTTTTTCCCTTTTTCAAAAACTTTTCTCTCCTCCTGCTGTGTGTTCCTCTCTGCAGGATGCCCTCGCCTCCTTCGACTTCTTGAACAAGAGAAATAGCATAGCGGTGAAGCCAGACCTGGACAGAGTGGTGGAGCACGAGATCCAGCATCCCGACCTGGAGCTGATCTCCATCCAGAAAGACTCGGAGATAAGGTTAGAGAGCCATGTGTCTGCTGTGTTTGTGCCTCTTTAACAGCCTTTTACAGTAACGCCAAACAAAGAGATGAATTGACGAGGGTGAGGACTTTGACTGCTGTTATGATGCACCAGCTAAAGAAAAATGTTTACTGAAAGAATAAAATAAATTCTGCTCTCTGATTTTCAAACTGTGAGTCTGAGGGGAAGCGCAAAAAGATTTTAAAAAACCCATGTTTACCTTGAAGCTGAGTTCATTGTTTTGTTCCAGCTCTTGACACTATTGAGCTCTAATGTGCAGGCATGCCACATGTGAGTGGAGCTGCAACAGTAACACGGCTGTAAACACTGCCCCCTGCCTGTAAATCCCCATATTGTCATATTTTCTGCTCTAGGCTGGTTATGCAGTGAATTTACAAGCCTCTCTTTGAGCTCATAAATATTGGATACTAATGTAAACTTGATTGTTTTCCAGGGATGAAGAGCAGTTTCACTTCAGTCTCAAGGACTTCAAATGCGTGGCCGTCCTCGGTCGTGGACACTTTGGAAAGGTGTGTCAGCATGCCACAGCAACAATAATTCATTCTTCTGTCTACATAAGTTCAACACAGTAGGAACAATCCCAGCTATAGTTATCCAGAGCTGAAGGAGTCTTCCTTTGACGTTGGTTGTTATGTCTTACACACAGTCTGAGCCCAAATACATTAAAGTTACTATTAGATATTACAACAACCCAAAGCATCAAATACACATATTAGCAGATAGAACTTTCAATGCGCTGGTGGTGAATCCGGCCTGTGGCTCCTTTCCCGCATGTCATTTCCCTCTCTCTCGCTGCCTGATTTCCGACTGTATCCACTGTCCTAACTCTCAAAGAAAAGGCACAAAAAGCCCCAAAAATAAATCTTAAAATGTAGGCATATTAGGTAAAAAAATATATATATAGAAAGGAGGAAATAAATTCAGGTAGTTGCCAGGGTGTGTAGAATACAAGTTTTGTTTTCGTCATCATCATGAACATTTGATTCAACATCAACACCATCCTTGATATCATCAGTATCATTATCAGTTAACTGATGGATTTATGTTGAGCAATAGTCTTTCAGATAAAAAGCAGACAAAAAGCTTGAATGAAGTTTTCCTGAAGTGTTCCTTTCCTCCGCCTCTTCAGGTGTTGTTAGCCGAATACAAAAGCACCGGAGAGATGTTTGCCATCAAAGCTCTGAAGAAAGGAGACATCGTGGCTCGCGATGAGGTGGACAGGTAAGCGTTTACAAACTGAATACTTACGTACATACTGAAAGTTGTTAATGTGAAAAAAAAACGAGATTGTAATTCAATTCTTTATCTTTCCTCTTTGTCAGTCTGATGTGCGAGAAAAGGATTTTTGAAACGGTCAACTGCGTCCGACACCCGTTCCTGGTCAACTTGTTTGCGTGTTTCCAGACGCAGGAGCACGTTTGTTTTGTCATGGAGTATGCAGCGGGAGGCGACCTGATGATGCACATCCACGCTGATGTTTTCGCTGAGCCCAGGGCTGTGTGAGTGAACTCAATCAGATTCTGTACAAGCGACGTTTCCATCTCTATCTCTGGCATAAACTCATGGCATTCGGTTTCTTTTGTATCTTTGCAGGTTTTATGCTGCCTGTGTCGTATTGGGATTACAGTTCTTGCATGAACACAAGATTGTGTACAGGTGAGTAGTTTAAAATAAGTCTCATAAAATAGTCCATAATCTGCAAGCGGCAAACAGGTTTTAAAAAAAAAAAAAATCCGATTTTGTTTGAATTTGCAGAGATTTGAAGCTGGATAACCTGCTCCTGGACACAGAGGGTTATGTGAAGATCGCCGACTTTGGGCTTTGCAAAGAAGGTAAAATATAAAACCACATTATGTTGAAAGCTTTGTATTTGAACTTCAGACTAAAAGATTGCAAAAGTTTCTTCTGACTAATAAAACAAAGCTTTAAAATGTCTGTAAAACTAGCAGCCTGAATAACCTCAACACAATAGGAGAAGAAAAGGCAGAGAGTGATTTATTCTGAGGAGAGCTGCTCCTTTATACGTCGGACTGTTGTGTTTTCAGGAATGGGTTTCAGGGATCGCACCAGCACATTTTGTGGCACACCGGAGTTTCTGGCTCCAGAGGTTCTGACTGAAACATCGTACACCCGCGCAGTCGACTGGTGGGGGCTGGGCGTCCTTATATTTGAGATGCTGGTTGGGGAGGTGAGTGCATGTTCACATACACAGTGTTAATGATGTACATGAAGCAGCTGTTGTCAAATGCTCCTATTTTTTCAACTTGGCACGTGTCTTTGCAGTCGCCCTTCCCTGGTGACGATGAGGAGGAGGTGTTTGACAGCATCGTCAATGACGAAGTCCGCTACCCACGATTCCTCTCGACAGAGGCCATCTCCATCATGAGAAGGGTGGGTACATAGATAGACCAAGAAATCAGTCGGAGAGGACCATGTTCAAAACAAATGAGTAGTTGGCAAAGTTTTAGTGGATTATTTATTCTTAGAAAATGTCTCTTGTTTGATATTTATACAATGAGTTCTGCTTCCTCTCGGGTTCAGCTTTTGAGGAGAAGTCCAGAAAGACGACTGGGAGCAGGAGAAAAGGACGCAGAGGAGGTTAAGAAACATCTATTCTTCAGGGTAAGCAACAAAACCAAGAATGCAATCCCATATTCAAGCTAGCTGACCCCCCTGTTTCCAGTCATTATGCTAAGCTAACCTAGCAGTAGCTTCTCGTTTGACGGAGTTATGAGAGTGGTATCAAACTTCTTATCTAAAGCTTGTTTCAAACTTTCCCTTTCTAAGAAGATGTAAACTCTATCTTTTTGTTTTGTTGCAGAACATGGATTGGAACGGACTGTTGTCCAAGAAGGTGAAGCCGCCATTCGTGCCGACCATTCAGGGCGCCAACGATGTTAGCAACTTCGATGATGAATTTACCTCAGAGGCTCCGATCTTAACCCCGCCCAGAGAACCCCGAGTGCTGTGCTCCGAGGAGCAGAACATGTTCTCTGACTTTGATTACATTGCTGACTGGTGTTAGCTCCACGTGACCCCGCACCCTCGTCTACACAAATACAGACACACACACTGTGAACCAACCAACACAGCGATGACTGTCACATGATTTTAAAACTTTCCATGTTGAGGAAGAGGAGCAGACGCGGCTCTCCGAGCCTTCGGGTAAAACTCTGTGCCATTGAGAAGAAAAGTCCAGAAGCCTCCTGAGGACCCCCACTTATTTTTTTAATCCACATGAAGAACTTTTTTTTTTTAAAGAAAAAGAAAACAAATGAACTCTGTTGTTTGAGAGTGAAGGAGTAGGGAGATGCTTTTTTTTTCTCCTGCACACGTCGCCGTGTCCATTGTCTGACCACTGAGAATGTTTTTTCGTATGAACTCTTGAGAAGACGACTTCATCACAATCATGTTATTCGGCCACCGTCGTCAGTTGTTTTGATCTGTACAGGTTATATTCAGTCATGTATTTTATTGTTGTGTTTTCCTTATTTACGAAGCGCTCGCCACAGCTTTAGGACATTTTATCTCACTGTAAAGTTCTGCCACCATCATGACTCAAAGTGCTGTTCAGTGAACCACAAATGCTCAAAGCATCATCACTGAACAGTCAACTGCAACTAACATCCTGACTACTACTGCTGCTTCTTCACTTGAAATCTAAATCAGTCTTGACACTACACGTCTCCATGGTTAGGGGCCTGATCTTTGACCACAACCCACACCAAAATACTGATACACTAGCTTCAGTTAACAGTCCACCCAGTCTTACTCCATCTATTAAATAACCATCAATGACTTATCTGGAAAAATAATGCAATTTTTTTTATATTATCGTCTGTTCAATGCCCTCTAGTGGCTACATTGAGGATGACTTTCAGCTGATCTCAGTTCAGGTGTAGGTGCAGCCCTGTGATTGGAGCAATAAAATCTAACTTTAACATTAAATGAATTACATTGTCAGAGTAAAGATCAATGAAAGTTATTTCTTTTTGTTCCTCAGTGAATAGCCAGTTGTAATGTATTTGAAGCAATTTTTTCTTGTTACCTCAATCAAAGTTTGAACACTAACGTGACAGTTCAAAAGCTACCGAAACCAAACTGATCCTGTCCCTCTGGAAGCAGCAGACCAACAACTCCTCATGGTTAAAGAAAAAAACAAATCCAATTGTTGGACTGAGAGTGGTGCCAAGGCAAAAGGGCAAAAAAGAGAAACTTGTTTGTCGTTGGGGCTGAGCAGTTTATTTGTTATCATACTAAACTGATTCTGTTAAATTGCCATTGGAAAGCCTCCCAGACTGTTCTGTGATCAGTTTAATTTTCTGTGGAATCAGCAGAGGACTTTGTCACTTTGCATGTTTTCCATAAACTGACTCAAATGTTGGAGACCTGTTGAAAGGAATCACTACAGGGGAGGGCAGGGTATATTATATATACATACTGTATGTACACAGTTAAGCTGAAAGCACTAATTTTATCAATAGTTTTTAATTATCTACGTTTCTTAATGATGAAAATAGATTGTACAAAGTTTTTTTTTTTATTCTTTGCTTGTGCATGTTGTTGCCAGAACAGATGAAAATGTAATGGATGGTACACCAATACTCAATCCCAACTGTTGCTGTCCCCCCCGGTGTAAAAGAGATTACTGCAGCCATTTGTTGCCCATCATGAATGCACAAATTAAACATTTGTAATAGTGGCTTTGCTCTGATTTTTACCCTCTGACACATCCTGATACTTCACTGCAGGTTGTAAGTGTACCTGCGTCGTTCACCCTACAAACATTTATTACAGATTTCTCTTAGTTTTTAATGAATGATGAGACATGAGCTGATTACAATCCTTTAATGAAAATCATTTTATTTTTTTAAATTACTTGAAACAATTCAAAACAAACTAACAAAATAGAACCGGTCATTTTCTACAAAAACAACGTTTTATGTGTACAGTATGAAACCAGCCTAAATTTGCAAGCATCAGTTACACCTTCTCACTTGGACATATATACATGATACAGTATACACACTCAAATGAAATACTGTAAGTACAGTCTGCCAGCTGTTAAAGCACTGGAATGTGTCCGTTTGTTTCCTGTGATCGCCTTTACAAAGGCTCCGAGTCTTAAGAGGGACAAGAGAAACCTTCCAACACAAATTTTTAATTTTTTTTAAAAAGAAAGAATAATATCCTTTAAGTACAGCAGAAAGATATCGTCACTGAGCAGGGAGCGTCTTCCTCACAGTTGGGGCAGCTTGTCGACGGGGGTGTCGAATTTGAAGTCCGGAGGGAAGAGTTCTGCGGCGCGCGGGTAGATGAGTCGATATGACTGCCTGATTGTAACATCTGCTACGCCGGCAATATCCCCAATTTCTGTGGAATATCACACAACAGGATCAACTTCTGAATCATTTATGAAACTATTTTTTTTTGTAACTCCTTTGTTTAAAAATGAAAACACACTTAAACATGTCGTTATTAATCCAAACATTTCAAGAGTGGCAATAAAAGGAGATAAATACAGTACTGGATACACCAATCATTTCTATGGTAAGAACAATCCTTAAACTGAAGTAGATTTTCCAGCTCTGGTAGACACTCACATTGACAGTATTATCACAGCACAATCACAACTCACCTTTCTGGGTCTTCTTCTCTGCAGAGGCCTGGGAGGCCATGTAGATGGCGGCTGCAGCCACAGAGATGGGGCTTCTGCCGGGCACCAGGTCCAGTTCCACTGCCTTCCTGGCGATGAAGGTGGCCGCCATTTGCACCTGTTTGGGCAGACCGAGGTTTGAGCAGAAGCGGGACATGAAGTCTCCGGTGGTGATGAGGTCCACGCTGGTCTCCAGCGCCTTTAGGATCAGCTTGAAACACCTGCCGATCTCCTTCTTGGAGATCCGGGACACGGCGCAGATCTCTGGGGAGGCGAGGAGAGGTGAGGAAGTGAACAAGTGTTTCTACCTGTGCTTCTACAAATAGGATGTTTTAAAGTCTCTTTAACGAAAGCAATCGTTTCGTCCTTTACAGTGTTTCGTCAAACACAATCATTGTTACGAATGTTTAAGTATCACATGTTTGCCATCAGCACCAATATATCAAAATAATACAACAGATAAGTCCACAAGAATACCAAAGGGTTTATTCTGACCTTTAAATGTTCTTGGTACACCTTCTTGTCTGCAGGCGATGTAGAGGCAGGCTGAAGCGATGGCATCGTTGGCTCGACCCTTTAGACTCTTCTGTTCATAAACCTGCTTGAATAAGTTGTTCGTTCTGTCCTGCAGAGCAAAAACAAAACACTGATTTAAGGCATCTACATGTTTCATAGTTCCTTTCCATGTTGGTGCATGTGTGTTTTTATTTATCTAAGAAAAACTTTGAACTGAAAACAAAACCATCCTATCCTCATTTTGTTCATCTGAAACCAGTTAAAAGCAGTCGAGTCACGATGTTTCAAATGTGAGCGGCTTTTTGTTGATATACAATTCTCTCCCATACACTGTACTTTTTCCCTCTCTTTATGCTTTTCTTTCATACATAGAACAGAACTGAAATATTAAATCTTTATGAAGCCACATGGCCAATGAGAACCAAAGTCATGATTTAATGGAACCAAACAACAGACTTTGTGCTCCCCCTTTTAATAAAGGAGACACAGATATGAACCGGAGCACAACCCACACATGGCCCCTTTACATGAAACAACTGTTTCAGGTACATCTGTTGTTGTCGACTTCAGCAGAAAATGGAGCCCTGCGTTCAGGCGGAATGCGGTAGTCCTGACCGCAAGCGGTTATCAGCTGATCTGAGAACTGCCCCAATGCAACCAGTCATTATCACACTGACAACAAGAAGGCGGTCTATTTAAAACATTCTGCCTCTCACTCCTCCTGCATCACATCCACACTGCTGTACAACTCTCCCTCCACCACCCCGACCTCCTCCAGCTTCAGTCAGCACATGTTATATTCTAGGATGAATTGTTTGCTTGTTATGTCTGCATGATGTCAGTATCATCACATGCACATTCAGGTTCTGTTCTGCATGTCCCTATGGGAGGGAATTCAATGTTTGCGCTCTCGGCAAGATCTGTGGCATGCTGCACTGATACTGCTGAGAGCAAAGAGAAGAACCAATACCAGCAAATACAACTGTACAAACCATAAGGGCAATAAATGGTTAAATGTATGACGAGAGGATTCCTGATTGAACTCTGCTGTATTATTTTTACACGCTTCAATGACACACCACAGAATTACAACATCGTGGTAAGTGTCTCGTTTTTCTTGTTCTCTTGTCACAAAACTTAGGTTTCGTTTCTTAAGAGTAACGCCTGGTTACTAAGTGGTTTTCCCTTACTGGTGAGGAGGGGTAAGGAGGGGTAAGGAGGGCAGACTGCAGACTTCAGAGATCTACAGTCAGACTGTGAGTGCACCTGATGTGACATAATTCAAGATGTACCGCTGTTTTTGGCATTATGTTGTTACACGTCATATTTTTGAACATCTTACTATGATGTTCCTGGGCAGGTTGATGCGGTCCGCCATGGTGCTGATTTCTTTAAAGGCGTTGAGCATGGCCCGGTCAGAGCTGCTCATGGTCCGCCGGTTCTGGTACTTGGAGTTACCAAATTCATCAAAACTAGCTGCACCTGTTCCCTGTGGTAGAAACAAAAGACATCAGTCACTTGTTTTGCATTTGAGGGTGTAGTTTGTCACGACTTCGGCGACATTACTAGACAGTGACACAATGTCTTCATCGCCGTTAGTGCCGACCGCAGTTAAGAAATCATGGTTGAAATAAACATGGTTGAAATATTTTAAAACATATTCACTCCACTGAAGGTTTGAGTCTCAAATATTGTTTGGTCTCCTCAACAATTCGTTGCTGTATTGTTCAGATATTTTCAACAGTAGGCCGAGGCGTCTCTCACCTTGCTGATCATGGTGGTGAGGTCGCCTCCGTTGAGCAGCGGGTTTTGGGCGTCTCCCACTCTGGATGGATCTTTGAGGGCTTTCTCATTTGAAAACGTCCTCCACTCTGAGCCCACGTCGATTACACGATCACCTGAGCAGAAATTGTTAGGACAATTTTTTTTTTAAAGTCGATACTGCTTCAATTTCTAAAACTTTTATTGCAACAGTTGAATAGAAATATTTGATAGACTGTAAGATTTAAGTTGATTTTGATGTAGAGTAAATAAACGGTTCTAAATAAAGTTTTCTTTTTGCGCATTCAGACAGATCAACGTTGCGTTTTTGATGCATAGACCCATCTAAAGAAACAGACTGTAGGTGGTTTAAATGTAAAATGCAAGGAAGTTTAATTAAGCTTTATGGTTCTGGGATCAACACGCCTTCGAATAGTAAACGAAACCTTTCATTCTTTAACAAAATAATGTCCCTGAGAACCTTTTTCTTTTAAAGAAATGTAATATTTTGTTACGTTTTAGATGTTTTTAGACTGACAGAGAAACATCAGCTTCAACCAAGGTCTGTCCCGTTTCTGTTGTTTAAATTAAGTCTCTACGGTAGCGTTGGTGCCTAGCAGTGATGTCATGCCCCATGTACAGAGACTACAGTCCTGATTACAACGGCTGTGGGTTTGGATCCGACCTCGGCCCTTTGCTGCATGTCATCCCCTAACTCTCTCCTCCCCCCATTTCCTGTCTCTCTTCGGCTGTCCTACCCAATAAAGGCAAAAAGGCCCTAAAAACATTGTTCTGTGAATCAGCTGCACAAACAAGCAGTCACACCTTCCGTGTGTCTGTATTGCATTATCCCTCTGGAATAATTAACAAGAAGATGACACAGTCAGCACAATTCCCTCATGCAAACACATCCTGCAGTGTCCGTGTCTCTAACACTGTAAATATTGTCTTGACACTTCTGTACCATCTTCCTTTAGCTTGTCGAAGAAACTCTTTAAAATCTCCACAATACTATGTTTTACGTATTGTGGTTCGTCATTCAATCAGCTCACACATCATTTTCACTCTTCTGTCTTTATCGTGTGATGCAGATACCACATTAAAATGTCATAGAAAGAAATGTTACATCATTCAGAAATGAAATCCAAGATGTACAAAGGATAAAAGATTTGACAATGGCGAGGATATATTAATTTGTGTCTTCTATAAGTCAGGACTATCAGTTCTGGAACAGCGTAGCATTGTGGGGGACGAGATTTCTGATTAATCCTGATAGGCTTTTCTTTTTTAACATCGGCCTTTCTAATATCTGTAGGCAAAGTAACATTCATCTCCTCAGAGGCCAGCCACAGCTACAGGAGCAGGAACAGAGGGCAGGGAGCGTCTTCTCTGTTCACCAGAGAGCTGCTGGCTCTCCCTCCTGACCTACTCAGGGGGCTCATTAGAGGAGGATGCTGTGTTCACCACTGCTTCCTCTTACTGTCCGCATCACATGTGAAAAGGGTTTATAGCTTGCTAAATTGCACAGACAAATGTTTGTCAGAAGCCTATCTAATGAAAATGTTCTTCAGGATCAGCACGTCTGCTAACTGCATATCCCCCTTTGCCACATTTTATACAACATTTTTGCAGATGTGATGTCGAAACCTTACAGCTGATAATCAAATTCAGAAAGTGTTAAACCAATATTATTTAAAACCAGGTACAGTCATATGACGCCAGTAAAATTATTTAATGAGAAACCGCTGAGGGTAAGAAAAAATAAATTTGAAGCTGTGACTTTGAAAAAGAACAGCCGACGTCATGAATAAACAAGCACGGGAAATCACAACGGAAAGTAAGTAAGTGTTCTGACGCAACGATTCACAGCAAAAGTGCATTTTATGGTGAATTTACTGACCTACTACTAGTCCACATTCAGGGCAAATCATGTCCCCTGCTCTGTAGTCCTCCACAAGTATGGCATCTGGGTGGTTGGGACATGTAACTCTAGGAAGGGCCAGGGCATCTCCACTGCAACACAAGAACAGAAAAGTGATGGTTTACAAGACATGAACGCAAAAGACGGACAATAGTGATCAGGATGCAAAACACACTTAACATCTAAGAAAGTCAATTTATGAAAGAATTAACTAGTTGTATACCTTTATGAAAACCCATTTATTTATAAAGTGACATAGTCCAGAGTTTGTACCACTCAGCCTAACCCAAGATAATTAAACAAACACTAGTTTTAGAGAATACTGGTGTTTTCACATCACCTTTTTTTCCCCTTTGTTTTCCTGAACATGCCAATAACATAATGCTCAACTGGTCGTTTTAGTGATTATGACATAATAACAATAACAGGCATACTTTGAATCTTGGACCACATCCAACAATAAACAAAACGTCACGGTGATGTGGCGAAACCAAAACAGATGGTGTGTGTTAAACGAAGGCCAATGCAAACATGTTTCATCCTTGAACACGTCCACTCAAATCCAGTTTTCTGATAAAAAAAAACATAATCCACAATCCGACAGTGTTTGCAACAAAAACAACAGACGACGTTGCGTAAGAGAGACAAGGACAGCTTTGCACGTTTACAAGAAACAGACATTCAGGGCTGTTCAGACTCCTCAATGAGCCCCTTCATGTGTTAGCTTAAAGTTTCAGCTTCATCCACTTCAGCTGAACATATTGTTGAAATGTTGAGCGATGTGAGCGGCGTTACCGTGTTCAAAAACATCCACTGAGCGCTGGCACAACAATGTGAGAGTGTAAAGGCGATACAGATGGTGACTTCTGGCAACATCTAAGTAGCAAGTTAGCCACCTAGCCGTTTCTAAAACAATACGCCTCAATGTAGAAACACGGGAGTGACGATTAAAGTCAAGTACTGGCGTATTTAATCACGCCTAGCTATACTATTATCACAAAACAATATACAATGAGCCACATATTAGGAAAGGCGTGGTATTTTAACAAGTTGAAGCTGCAACGCACCGGCTCGTCGACGCCATGTCTGTTCTCGCTCCGCCTGTGTGTCGAACAAACAATTGACTGCGGAGCCTCTATTTATAACATTTTGCGATCACGTGTCCACTGGACTACGGAGAACCTCTAGGCTCAAACTAGTACAAAAATGATCAAAACACGTTTTTGTTGAAACTACACCGGTGAAATCCTTCATTTGGTTTCTGTTACATTTGTGACCTCTTTGTGTATATATGAAAAAAAAAGATTAGATATATCTATTTTATAAACTGGATACAATATAAAGTCAATGGATTAATCATTTGGTGGGTTTTATAACGAATTTCTTTTATGCAATGTGCCAACACAGATAAGGCTTCACGGGCTACACCCAAAACTCCTAAGACCTATGCTTAAGACTCATTAAAGACACAGTACACAACCCACCACGCATACAATACCAGTTTGAAAACAACAACAATAATGTCAAATGGGACATGTTAAGTAACTTAAGTTAAAAAGCTTAGTATATGCCTGCGGTTTACATTATAGCCTACATACCTGGTCTATAGAGAACTAAACTAAATTAATAAAGCGTTGTGGGAAAGGTCTATCAGTATAAGTGTATTATATTTCTCAGCAAGTTTCCAGGGAAGTACTTCTAATGATAAATCTAAATGACTTGAAAGGACACTCATGTATTATTTATGTGATCTTTTTCAACTCCAACTCCGACTTTATTTATAAAGCACTTCTCATACATTAAAAGCATGCTGCCCAAAGTGCTTCACAAAAGAACAGACCGGCGGACTGGAAATAAAAACAGAAATGGACAACAATAAGTAAAATCCTAGAAGACCTAGAAAAATAATTGAAACATAAAATAAAAGTTAATACAGTAGAAAATAATAAAATGTGTAGCAATGAATCAATTTAAATCAAACTAAATATTAAAAACAATGTTACAACGTGTTAACCAAGGCTATCCAATTGCTCCAAATTTACAGCCAGATTAAAAAGGTAGGTCTTTAGTTTATTTTTAAAAGCACTCAGAGAGCTTGCCGGTTTATTGTCCAAAGGTAGTGAGCATAAAAACAGAAAGCTCTGCAGGTGCTTGTGTGGGTCATTATAACACCAAATAACATTGTTATTACCTGAAGATTACCAATCAAATCTGATTACATTATACAGATATACAATTGCAGAACCTTCCTAAACCTGAATATAAGATTTACTGACCCTATATGTACTAACCAAAGATACAAATGTCCTTGTTATCAGTATTTTAAGACAGATTAATAATATATGACCAGTGAAAACTTCTATATTGCAACAATACATCTATTTCAGTTTCAATTCATCCCAAGAAGCCTGATTATGAAGGCCTGTGATATTGTCTGACTGTACCAGCCTGTGTCTCTGTACCCGTATGTGACTGCTCTACTCCTTTGCGTCACACTTCCCCTGAAGGAAACCGCACAGGGAAATAAAGAGTTCCTTTATCTTGTCAAGAACTGTGGTAACAGAATCACACATCTTCATCTGGGGAGAGATTAATCATACATCATATAAACATTCATTTTGCACTTGTGGGTTTTTTATTTAATGCAACTTTTTTTGCAAATTTCTTAGAAATCTTCAATTGAACCCTTATTCATAGATTTATTATTTCCTTTTTTTATTAAACAGTGCATCAAGACAACAGCAGGTGGAGCTGCATAAATGGATTGAGCCATGTTTAGAAAACGCTCATGTGGTCCCACCTCAGCCGTGATACTCATTGTGTTAGTTTGATATTGAGAGTGATCTGTTTTAAGGACAGATCATTCAGAACCTTTTAATTAGAGGTCTGACAGATCTGAATTTCTTTCAGATCATCACTGTGAATAGTAACCCATTTAACCTAAGATACTGGATAGAGTTGGATCCTTATTGGGATCACTTTAAACTCACACTGAAACCATTTTTAAAGAAGCTTAGTGATAAAGTCATGTATGATCTTGTGCATCCTCAGGAATAGAAAATGAGTTAAGGCTATAATTGTTGTGTGTGTGGCAGTTAACTTGTTTCATCTGGCCCCTCTACAAATAAACATAAAAATTAACAAATAATATACTCACATATTGCTATATACTCACAATCTCATTTGCCATTTAGTTTTTGATTCTGACTTGATAAGAAATGGGCCGTCAGCACAATTTATTTATGTACTACTGCTGCACCATGGCCTATTTCTTTTTCATGGCCAATCTTTTTCAGCATTGGCGCAACATTCTTTGTCCTGAAATTGTCGCTGAAGTGTATTTAAATATGTTTTCGGAGCACCTTTGCACCAAAACTGTGCTAAACTGGACTGACTGAGCCTATGGGAACAAGACCTGAGTAGTTACAAGTGATAGATCTCAAAGGTACACCAAACAAGAACAAGCAGTGAATGGCATGCTGGTTTCAGAGCAGAAGTAGGTGAGGCACGTGTTCTCTTCTTTTTGTCTCGAGCTGACATGCACACACACGCACACAGTACTAACACACACGGCACTTACTATCTCAATGCCTCTGGGCTGCTTATTCGTGAACTATAACTCTGGATTACACCATATTGTCATTCTTCATTCATTTTATGTTTGGTTGTAACAAAGGATGGACACATGAGCAAACATCCTGTGCGCACACTCCTAAAGCAATGTTTGTAATCTGATATACCTCACAGGAACCTTTTCCTTTATGATTGGGATAACAATCTGGTGTATTGTTTATACATGCAAAAGGTGGGTCTATGCTGAATAATTTACACGTTATTGAGCCTGTTTTCAACATACTGAGCTGGTTGCCAGGGGTATCTGGGGCCCTCAGCTGTTGCCCCCCTCGGACAGGAAACACCATACTCTGCAACCCACTCCCAGCCAGTGTGACTACAAACCAAACCCTTACAGCATTCTAAAACATTTTTATTTTCCCTACCCACACTGACCAAATGTCACAGATAAACATCTGTATGTTTGGCATGAACTCAGTTGGACTTAACACCACATTATAACTCAAAACCAATCGCGAACTCCTAGAAAAAGTTGTTAGAGCTGTGGCAAGGTCTGACAACAAGCGAAGGAAGAAACTGATTTAATTATAATGTACACTCTGGTTTGTACAACATGCATGTGTCGAACATGTGTCTGTATGTGACCTTTTGTAGGGGTAGACAGAGGCACGTCCTTGTCTCTGTTTGTAGAAGAGTTCATATGTATGTATTTTATTTATATGTGTGTCCTCAGTATGCTAAGGAATGTACACATCCCAATTCAGCATCTAACCTGTTTGTTCTAAACATCCTGCCAACTTCTTTTTTTTTTTTAAATTACAAGTTACATACAAGTTTGACTTTAATTGTTTGTATGGTTGAATTTGACATCTAGACATAAGCTGCATACATGATGTGAACATAATCCTGAAAATACTTTAGTATATTTTAAGTAAATGAAAATGATCTCAGATTTGCTTTATCTTTAATTGCAATATTGTTTGTTTTTTTTTAAGTCGCTGGGGATCTCTCTTGTACGGAGCCCCTGAAGTCACGGAAAGAAAAAATATATAAATCTTGTGCGCACAAGATAATCATACGTACTTATTGACATGAGTGTCAATAAGTAAGGTTTGCTTAATACTTTTCAAAGAACCTGTTTTCTATAAGTTATAGAATTGTACTGTAACTTACTTTATTAACATGTACACATACAAACATCATTTTTCCTATACCCTAAATATCACTGTATCAATCAATTTATATTTGTATAGCGTCAACTCATAAAAAGTGTTATCTCGAGACACTTTACAAAAAGCAGGTAAAATACCTTACTCTTTGTCTGTTAACATTACAAAAGAGCAGGTAAAAAGACCTTACTCATTATTATGTTACAAAAAGCAGGTAATTACAAAGACCCCGCCTATCCATCATGAGCACTTTAGCAAAGCAGCAAAAGTTACAGTGGTAAGAAAAAACTGCCTTATTAAAAGGCAGAAATCTTTGGCTGGATCCCCGGCTCATGATAAAACAGCCTTCACAGGCCTAGACTGCGCCGGGCTTGGAAGGGGATAGGGGGAGAGATGGGATAAGATGCAGGAAGAGGGATAGGGAGCAAGGGGGTGGGGGGGTGTTGTTCAGGCAAGAGCGTGGGGGGGGGGGGGGGTTGTTCTGGCAGGCCATCAACCAACGATCTTGAGGAGCCTAAGAGAGCTCAAGAGCTCCCAGGAAAGTAGGTGGTTAGTGACTGAGATTTACAGATAGATACATGCAGTAATATGATGTACTGTATATGGAGAGAGAGAGAGAGAGAGAGAGAGAGAGAGAGAGACAGACAGACAGACAGACAGACAGACAGACAGACAGAGAGAGAGAGAGAGAGGTGCCAGTTTCCCTGGTAGTCTCAGCCTATAGCAGCATAACTAAGAGCTGGTCTACACCAGCATCAAAAAGAGGAGAGGAGCCTGATAACTGAAGGCTTTACCTCCCATAGTACATGTATGTACATGTATGACATTCCTAGGTTAAAGTAAAACTTGATTTGTTGAGTTATCTCCATAAGGCTGAACTAAACTCCTTGCTGAGGCAAATTAATTCAAAATTAACTTTTGTGCACATCATAATTATAATTCTCTTGTGCGCACAAGATATATATTTTTAAACTTTTCGGGACTTCAGGGGCTCCGTACTCTTGTATCGCTTTGTTTCCACTTTGTTTGTTTCCTGTAAAGATATTTACAACAAAATCACTGGGGAAAGCAAAAAACACAGAAAAAAAAATCACGTGACCCAAGTCAAGAAGTGAAGTGTATTTACATCCTCTAATCTTACACTGTTCTTCTTCAGTTTGTCCTGGTCTTTCTGAGAGCACTATCAACTCGGTTTTCACAACACAGACTCACTCAATTGTAAGCTAACAATTGCACCTTTTTCATTTCAACCCTGTAACTGTAAAGTCTGCTGAGAACTCAGATAAAACCCATTGTCAAAGTATAATCAGTCTGAGTGTGTGTATCACGCAGCACCTCCGCACCTGATCTTGTAAGCAGGCAGGCTATCACACTACACACCCCAGTGACTGCTTTCTTTCTTTCTCTTTTTTTCTCTTCCTCT